GTTCCAAAAATTTTTTAAATTGGAAATTTCTACTATTTTTGTTTAAACATACAAAGTGCGTTTCAAGAATTCAAAATTTACAGCTTTTGACAACGAAATTTGAAAATTACAAGTGTCCAAGGTTTCTTCAATAATTAAAAAAGTAGATTTAGCTGTCTGTAGAAAATTTTTAAGTTTCCAAAATTTTTAAAATTTCAAGTTTTCAATATTTTCATTTAAATCTACAAAGCGCATTTCAGGAATTTAAAATCTGTGGCCTTTGAAATGTTGTCAACTTGGAAATTTCGAAAACAAGAGTTTGAATTGTTTTAATTTGTAAACATTTTGAAAACAATTTTAAAATGTTGAAAAGTATAAATTTCTAAAATTTTGTCAATATATCATGAAGTAGATAAAGTTGTCTGTACAATGTTTCAGTATTTACAACATAACATATTACTTTTTAAAATTTTCAGTTTCAAAAATTTTTAAAATTGTAAATTTCCCCTATTTTTGTTTAAACTTACAAAGTGCAATTGTAGTAATTAAAATTTGTCGCCTTTGAAATGTTGTCAACTTTGAAGGTTTCGACAACAAAAGTTTTAATTGTTTTAATTTGTTAACATATTGAAAACAGTTTTAAATGTTGAAAATTATAAGTGTCTAAGGTTTTCTCAATAAATAAAAAAGTAGATTTAGCTGTCTGTGGAATTTTTAAGAATTTACAACATTATTATGTTAAAAATATTCAGTTTCCAAAATTTTTAAAATTTCAGGTTTTCAATATTTTCGTTTAAACCAACAAAGTGCATTTTTGGAATTTAAAATTTGTTGGTTTTGAAATGTTGTCAACTTCGTAATTTCAAAAACAAAAATTTGAATTGTTTTAAATTGTAAACATTTTGAAAACAATTTTAAAATGTTGAAAAGTATAAATTTCTAAAATTTTGTCAATATATAATGAAATAGATGCAGTTGTCTGTACAATGTTTAAGGATTTACAACATTATTACGTTTTAAAATGTTCAGTTTCCAAAATTTTTAAAATTGTAAATTTCCCCTATTTTTGTTTAAACTTACAAAGTGCATTTGTGGAATTTAAAATTTGTTGTTTTTGAAACGTTGTCAACTTTGAGATTTTGACAACAAAAGTTTTAATTGATTTAATTTGTAAACATAATGAAAACAATTTTAAATGTTGAAAATTATAAGTGTCTAAGGTGTTCTCAATAAACAAAAAAAGTAGATTTAGCTGTCTGTGGAATTTTTAAGAATTTACAACATTATTATGTTTTAAAATATTCAGTTTTCAAAATTTTTAAAATTTCAAGTTTACACTATGTTCGTTAAAACTTACAAAGTGCATTTTTGGAATTTAAAATTTGTGGCCTTTGAAACGTTGTCAACTTGGAAATTTCGAAAACAAAAGTTTGAATTGTTTTAAATTGTAAACATTTTGAAAACAATTTTAAAATGTTGAAAAGTATAAATTTCTAAAATTTTGTCAATATATATAATGAAGTAGATAAAGTTGTCTGTACAATGTTTAAGTATTTACAACATTATTACGTTTTAAAATTTTCAGTTTCAAAAATTTTTTAAATTGTAAATTTCCCCTATTTTAGTTTAAACTTACAAAGTGCATTTGTGGAATTTAAAATTTGTTGCTTTTGAAATGTTTTCAACTTGAGATTTCGACAACAAAAGTTTTAATTGTTTCAATTTGTAAAGATAATGAAAACAATTTTAAATGTTGTAAAATATAAGTGCCCAAGGTTTTCTCAATAAATAAAAAAGTAGATTTAGCTGTCTGTGGAATTTTTAAGAGTTTACAACATTATTAGATTTTAAAATATTCAGTTTTCAAAATTTTTAAAATTTCAAGTTTACACTATGTTCGTTAAAACTTACAAAGTGCATTTTTGGAATTTAAAATTTGTGGCCTTTGAAATGTTGTCAACTTGGAAATTTCGAAAACAAAAGTTCGAATTGTTTTAAATTGTAAACATTTTGAAAACAATTTTAAAATGTTGAAAAGTATAAATTTGTAAAATTTTGTCAATATATAATGAAGTAGATTAATTTATCTGTACAATGTTTAAGGATTTACAACATTATTTCGTTTTAAAATTTTCAGTTTCAAAAATTTTTAAAATTGTAAATTTCTCCTATTTTTATTTAAACTTACAAAGTGCATTTCAAGAATTCAAAATTTACAGCTTTTGACAACGAAATTTGAAAATTACAAGTGTCCAAGGTTTTTTCAATAAATAAAAAAGTAGATTTAGCTGTCTGTAGAAAATTTTTAAGTTTCCAAAATTTTTAAAATTTCAAGTTTTCAATATTTTCGTTAAAACTTACAAAGTGCATTTTTGGAATTTAAAATTTGTGGCCTTTGAAATGTTGTCAACTTGGAAATTTCGAAAACAAAAGTTTGAATTGTTTTAGATTGTAAACATTTTGAAAACAATTTGAAAATGTTGAAAAGTATAAATTTCTAAAATGTTGTCAATAAATAATGAAGCAGATGAAGTTGTCTGTACAATGTTTAAGGATTTACAACATTATTACGTTTTAAAAATTTCAGTTTCAAAAATTTTTAAAATTGTAAATTTCCCCTATTTCTGTTTAAACTTACAAAGTGCATTTGTGGAATTTAAAATTTGTTGCTTTTGAAATGTTGTCAACTTTGAAATTTCGACAACAAAAGTTTTAATTGTTTTAATTTGTAAACATATTGAAAACAATTTTAAATGTTGAAAATTATAAGTGCCTAAGGTTATCTCAATAAATAAAAAAGTAGATTTAGCTGTTTGTGGAATTTTTAAGAATTTACAACATTATTAGATTTTAAAATATTCAGTTTCCAAAATTTTTAAAATTTCAAGTTTTCAATATGTTCGTTAAAACTTACAAAGTGCATTTTTGGAATATAAAATTTGTAGCCTTTGAAATGTTGTCAACTTGGAAATTTCGAAAACAAAAGTTTGAATTGTTTTAAATTGTAAACATTGTGAAAACAATTTTAAAATGTTGGAAAGTATATATTTCTAAAATTTTGTCAATACATAATGAAATAGATTAAGTCGTCTGTACAATGTTTAAGGATTTACAACATTATTACGTTTTAAAATTTTCAGTTTCAAAAATTTTTTAAATTGGAAATTTCTACTATTTTTGTTTAAACTTACAAAGTGGATTTCAAGAATTCAAAATTTACATCTTTTGACAACGAAATTTGAAAATTACAAGTGGAAAATTTTTAAGTTTCTAAAATTTTTAAAATTTCAAGTTTTTAATATTTTCGTTTAACCTACAAAGTGCATTTTTGGAATTTAAAATTGTGGCCTTTGAAATGTTGTCAACTTGGAAATTTCGAAAGCAAAAGTTTGAATTGTTTTAAATTGTAAACATTTTGAAAACAATTTTAAAATGTTGGAAAGTATATATTTCTAAAATTTTGTCAATATATAATGAAATAGATTAAGTTGTCTGTACAATGTTTAAGGATTTACAACATTATTCCGTTTTAAAATTTTCAGTTTCAAAAATTTTTTAAATTGGAAATTTCTCCTATTTTTGTTTAAACTTATAAAGTGCATTTGTGGAATTTAAAATTTGTTGCCTTGTTGAAATGTTGTCAACTTTGAAAGTTTCGGCAACAAAAGTTTTAATTGTTTTAATTTGTAAACATATTGAAAACAATTTTAACTGTTGTTAATTTATAAGTGTCTAAGGTTTTCTCAATAAATAAAAAAATAGATTTAGCTGTCTGTGGAATTTTTAAAAATTTACGGTATTATTAATTATTATGTTTTAAAATATGCAGTTTCCGAAATTTTTAAAATTTCAAGTTTTCAATATTTTCGTTTAAACCTACAAAGTGCTTTTTTGGAATTTAAAATCTGTGGCCTTAGAAATTTCAAAATTTAGAGAAAACAAAACCTGTTTTTCGGCGTTTTCTGTGCAATTTTAACTATCAAAAATTCGATGCTTCATTTTTATTAAACAAAAAATCCAATTTTTATTTTATTGTAAATAATATAGCGAAAAAGACTTCGATAACGAGATGTATACATTTTTTGTTAATCTGAGTTTCCCATCTAGATTAAATTATTTGCACTTGTACGCTTAGCAATTCAGCAAATAAACTTTTTAATAGCCGATTTCGCCTACTTAAGTAGACTTTTCCGGCCCAAGCACAATCGTCACTTATCTCAAAACCAACAAACCTCTTAGCCAAATCAGTCAACAAATCTCCGCTTAAAATTTTCACCGAATTTACTCCCAACACGTTTTTTATCTCCCATTTAAATCCACGTCCACGATAATTTCCAGCTCTCATTAATCAACAAACCAGCATCATTTAATAAAAACACGAATAATCATTGTCCAGGAATGCAGCTCAGAACATCTCGAGGGCACGATGACGCAGCCGAAATTGGTAATTTCGCCCAAAAAAAACCCGACTTCCCCGTCCTTAACAATTAATAAATCTGGGTTAACTGATTAATTCCCACTTGAACCTACCGCTGCCCGTCTTACGGGAAATCTGACGCAATCGCGTCTCTTTTTCGACTTCCACTTCAAGGAACGCCAGAATGTGACCCAAACAATTAACACTAAAGAATTTTTCCTCGTTCCGCCTCTGCCCATCGCTCGGCTTCCCAGAAGTTCCTCTAACGTCTGCTGTTATATCAGCTCATTTATCACCAACCAACAAAAAAAAGAAAAAACGCCGACTTCTTGCGTCAGAAAAACGTGACTTTTCGTCCGTACACGCCTCCCAGCCGGCCAATCGCGGCCCAGCCCGCTCTGACGTCACCCGCCGCGAAAAGCCCTTTTTTTCCGAAAGCCGGTCCTGCGGGGGCGCCCAATTGCCCGCTCCGACAATGCCCCTTGATTATCGCTAATGAATTAATGTCTTAATTCGCTCAATTTTCTTCTGGTAAATAGTACGTGGTCGAACACACGCTAGAATGCGCTCTTGCGGGAGCGAGACCGAGATAGGTGCTAGGTATATAAGGCTCGGGGTGGCTTGGAGCCCTCATTCGTGTCCAAGACAACCAACCAACCGACCAAAATGGTAAGTCACTTTTCGTTATCCCACTTCGATAACTGCGCTCCGAAATTAGCCTTTATCGCGTTTTTCGTTTCGCGATTTTTTTGCCGGGTCCAGAGTCCGACTCTGCGGCTCTGCCCCCGGCCCGCGGTTTAGTCGCGAGCAACAGGTCCGCCGCCACTGGCGCGAGCGCCACTTTCCTGCCAAAGTAAATAGTTCGGGGAAATTTTGTCTTTTCGACCGGAAATAGATGGAGTGCTTCTGGGAAGGTGGCTGATGCAATAGCGTCCAGATGGAGACGCCGAGGGTTTTCACGTTTGTGTGATCAAGAAATTTGAGCGTTTAAAAACTGATAATCGAATTGAGCGGGTATAAAAGGGGCCCGGGTCGGCAAACACGCAGTTTTCGGACGAGAGCGGAATGGTGAGTGTCTGCGGGAAAAATATTTTCTTTGGGGGCGGCAGAGGAGGCGGGTATTAGTTGGTGCGCGGGGTGGTGGTGCGAGATTTTTGGAATTTTGGCTAAAGTGATAAGTACATAAAACTAAGTTTATGATTTTTGAATTAATTTATTTGAAAATTTACCTAATTTGAATTTCTTAGCACACTGAATTATCAAAATTTACTTTTGTTTGCTCATTTAAAGCCGTTTTGGCTGATTAGATTTACTTTCATAAACCGAAGTTAAATAATTTTTAAATACATACTTTAAAAATTTTGTCGAATTTGACGAGAATTAGCACTTTACCTCGATTAAGGATGCTAACGTTTTAAATTACTTTGATAAATCGGAGGTGCAGAGTTCGTCCAGAACTAATAATCAGACTTTGAAATAACGAAACGTCATCTTACGAAATTAAACGAGCTATATATATTTTGGAAATTGATAGTCGAACGGTCATCAGATCAATTTATTTGTTTCTTAATACCGCTGCACGTCAACACTGGTCGCGATAACAATTTTCAGATGTTCTTCTAGACGTTTACCTAATTTGAATTTTTTAGCACACTTCGTTACCAAAATTTATTTTTGTTTGCTCGGAAACTCACAGTTTCATATTTAAAGCCGTTTTCGGTGATTAGATTTACTTTCATAAACCGAAGTTAAATAATTTTTAAAATCATACTTTAAAAATTTTGTCGAATTTGACGAGAATTAGCACTTTACCTCGATTAAGGATGCCAACGTTTTAAATTACTTTGATAAATCGGAGGTGCAGAGTTCGTCCAGAACTAATAATCAGACTTTGAAACAACGAAATGTCATCTTACGAAATTAAACAAGCTGTATATGATATTTTGAAAATTGATAGTCAAACGGTCATCAGATCAATTTATTTGTTTCTTGATACCGCTGCACGTCAACACTGGTCGCGATAACAATTTTCAGATGTTCTTCTAGACGTTTACCTAATTTGAATTTTTTAGCACACTTCGTTACCAAAATTTATTTTTGTTTGCTCGGAAACTCACAGTTTCATATTTAAAGCCATTTTCGATGAATAGATTTACTTTCATAAACCGAAGATAAATAATTTTTAAAGTCATATTTTAAAAATTTTGTCGATTTTGACGAGAATTAGCACTTTACCTCGATTAAGGATGCTAACGTTTTAAATTACTTTGATAAATCGGAGGTGCAGAGTTCGTCCAGAACTAATAATCGGACTTTGAAATAACGAAACGTCATCTTACGAAATTAAACGAGCTATATACGATATTTTGGAAATTGATAGTCGAACGGTCATCTGATCAATTTATTTGCTTCTTGATACCGCTGCACGTCAACACTGGTCGCGATAACAATTTTCAGATGTTCTTCTAGACGTTTACCTAATTTGAATTTTTTAGCACACTTCGTTACCAAAATTTATTTTTATTTGCTCGGAAACTAACAGTTTCATATTTAAAGCCATTTTCGGTGATTAGATTTATTTTCATAAACCGAAGTTAAATAATTCTTAAAGTCATACTTTAAAAATTTTGTCGAATTTGACGAGAATTAGCACTTTACCTCGATTAAGGATGCTAACGTTTTAAATTACTTTGATAAATCGGAGGTGCAGAGTTCGTCCAGAACTAATAATCAGACTTTGAAATAACGAAACGTCATCTTACGAAATTAAACGAGCTATATATGATATTTTGGAAATTGATAGTCGAACGGTCATCAGATCAATTTATTTGCTTCTTGAAACCGCTGCACGTCAACACTGGTCACGATAACAATTTTCAGATGTTCTTCCAGACGTTTACCTAATTTGAATTTTTTAGCACACTTCGTTACCAAAATTTATTTTTGTTTGGTCGGAAACTCACAATTTTGTATTTAAACCCGTTTTGGCTGATTAGATTTACTTTCATAAACCGAAGTTAAATAATTTTTAGAGTAGTATTTTAAAAATTTTGTCGAATTTGATGAGAATTAGCACTTTACCTCGATTAAGGATACTAACGTTTTAAATTAGTTGGATAAATCGGAGGTGCAGAGTTCGTCCAGAACTAATAATCAGACTATGAAATAACGAAACGTCATCTTACGAAATTAAACGAGCTATATATGATATTTTGGAAATTGATAGTCGAACGGTCATCAGATCAATTTATTTGTTTCTTAATAGCGCTGCACGTCAACACTGGTCGCGATAACAATTTTCAGATGTTCTTCTAGACGTTTACCTAATTTGAATTTCTTAGCACACTTCGTTACCAAAATTTAGTTTTGTTTGCTCGGAAACTCACAATTTTATGTTTAAAGCCGTTTTGGCCGATTAGATTTACTTTCATAAACCGAAGTTAAATAATTTTTAAAGTCATATTTTAAAAATTTTGTCGAATTTGACGAGAATTAGCACTTTACCTCGATTAAGGATGCTAACGTTTTAAATTACTTTGATAAATCGGAGGTGCAGAGTTCGTCCAGAACTAATAATCAGACTTTGAAATAACGAAACGTCATCTTACGAAATTAAACGAGCTATATATGATATTTTGGAAATTGATAGTCGAACGGTCATCAGATCAATGTATTTGTTTCTTAATACCGCTGCACGTCAACACTGGCCGCGATAACAATTTTCAGATGTTCTTCTAGACGTTTACCTAATTTGAATTTCTTAGCACACTTCGTCACCAAAATTTATTTTTGTTTGCTCGGAAACTCACAGTTTCATGTTTAAAGCCGTTTTCGGTGATTAGATTTACTTTCATAAACCGAAGTTAAATAATTCTTAAAGTCACACTTTAAAAATTTTGTCGAATTTGACGAGAATTAGCACTTTACCTCGATTAAGGATGCTAACGTTTTAAATTACTTTGATAAATCGGAGGTGCAGAGTTCGTCCAGAACTAATAATCAGACTTTGAAATAACGAAACGTCATCTTACGAAATTAAACGAGCTATATACGATATTTTGGAAATTGATAGTCGAACGGTCATCAGATCAATTTATTTGTTTCTTAATACCACTGCACGTCAACACTGGTCGCGATAACAATTTTCAGATGTTCTTCTAGACGTTTACCTAATTTGAATTTCTTAGCACACTTCGTTACCAAAATTTATTTTTGTTTGCTCGGAAACTCACAGTTTCATGTTTAAAGCCGTTTTCGGTGATTAGATTTACTTTCATAAACCGAAGTTAAATAATTCTTAAAGTCACACTTTAAAAATTTTGTCGAATTTGACGAGAATTAGCACTTTACCTCGATTAAGGATGCTAACGTTTTAAATTACTTTGATAAATCGGAGGTGCAGAGTTCGTCCAGAACTAATAATCAGACTTTGAAATAACGAAACGTCATCTTACGAAATTAAACGAGCTATATATGATATTTTGGAAATTGATAGTCGAACGGTCATCAGATCAATTTATTTGCTTCTTGAAACCGCTGCACGTCAACACTGGTCACGATAACAATTTTCAGATGTTCTTCCAGACGTTTACCTAATTTGAATTTTTTAGCACACTTCGTTACCAAAATTTATTTTTGTTTGGTCGGAAACTCACAATTTTGTATTTAAACCCGTTTTGGCTGATTAGATTTACTTTCATAAACCGAAGTTAAATAATTTTTAGAGTAGTATTTTAAAAATTTTGTCGAATTTGATGAGAATTAGCACTTTACCTCGATTAAGGATACTAACGTTTTAAATTAGTTGGATAAATCGGAGGTGCAGAGTTCGTCCAGAACTAATAATCAGACTCTGAAATAACGAAACGTCATCTTACGAAATTAAACGAGCTATATATGATATTTTGGAAATTGATAGTCGAACGGTCATCAGATCAATTTATTTGTTTCTTAATACCGCTGCACGTCAACACTGGTCGCGATAACAATTTTCAGATGTTCTTCCAGACGTTTACCTAATTTGAATTTTTTAGCACACTTCGTTACCAAAATTTATTTTTGTTTGGTCGGAAACTCACAATTTTATATTTAAACCCGTTTTGGCTGATTAGATTTACTTTCATAAACCGAAGTTAAATAATTTTTAGAGTCATATTTTAAAAATTTTGTCGAATTTGACGAGAATTAGCACTTTACCTCGATTAAGGATACTAACGTTTTAAATTACTTTGATAAATCGGAGGTGCAGAGTTCGTCCAGAGCTAATAATCAGACTTTGAAATAACGAAACGTCATCTTACGAAATTAAACGAGCTATATATGATATTTTGGAAATTGATAGTCGAACGGTCATCTGATCAATTTATTTGTTTCTTAATACCGCTGCACGTCAACACTGGTCGCGATAACAATTTTCAGATGTTCTTCTAGACGTTTACCTAATTTGAATTTTTTAGCACACTTCGTCACCAAAATTTATTTTTGTTTGCTTGGAAACCAACAATTTTGTGTTTAAAGCCGTTTTGGCTGATTAGATTTACTTTCATAAACCGAAGTTAAATAATTTTTAAAGTCATATTTTAAAAATTTTGTCGAATTTGACGAGAATTAGCACTTTACCTCGATTAAGGATGCTAACGTTTTAAATTACTTTGATAAATCGGAGGTGCAGAGTTCGTCCAGAACTAATAATCAGACTTTGAAATCACGAAACGTCATCTTACGAAATTAAACGAGCTATATGTGATATTTTGGAAATTGATAGTCGAACGGTCATCAGATCAATTTATTTGTTTCTTAATACCGCTGCACGTCAACACTGGTCGCGAAAACAATTTTCAGATGTTCTTCTAGACGTTTACCTAATTTGAATTTTTTAGCACACTTTGTTACCAAAATTTATTTTTGTTTGCTCGGAAACTCACAGTTTCATATTTAAAGCCGTTTTCGGTGATCAGATTTATTTTCATAAACCGAAGTTAAATAATTTTCAAAGTCATATTTTAAAAATTTTGTCGAATTTGACGAGAATTAGCACTTTACCTCGATTAAGGATACTAACGTTTTAAATTACTTTGATAAATCGGAGGTGCAGAGTTCGTCCAGAACTAATAATCAGACTTTGAAATAACGAAACGTCATCTTACGAAATTAAACGAGCTATATACGATATTTTGGAAATTGATAGGCGGACGGTCACTATATCAATTTTCACATGTGCTTCTAGACGTTGAATTTGAATGTCTTAGCACATTTCGTTATCAAAATTTATTTTTGTTTGTTCAGAAACTCACAATTTTATAAACAAATCGTTTTGGCCAATCACATTTACTTTCATAAGTCGACTTTTGCAATTTTTTAATTCAAACTTGAAAATTTTGTCGAATTTTCGCGAGAACTAGCACTTCACCACGATTAAGGATGCTAACGATTTAAATTTCTTTAATAAATCAGAAGTTTAGAGTTTGTTCAAAACTGATAGTCAGACTTTGAAATAACGAAACGCCATTTTATGAAATTAAACGAACTGTATGTATTATTGGAAGTTGACAGTGGAATGATCGTCAGCTCGATTTATTTGCTTCTTAGTACAACTTTACGTCAAGACTGGTCACTATATCAATTGTCACATGTGCTTCTGGACGTTTAATTTGAATGTCTTAGCACGTTTCGTTATCAAAATTTATTTTTGTTTGTTTAGAAACTCATAATTTAATAAACAAATCGTTTTGGCTAATCACATTTACTTTCATAAGTCGACTTTAGCAATTTTTTAATTCATACTTGAAAATTTTGTCGAATTTTCACGAGAACTAGCACTTTACCACGATTAAGGATGCTAACGATTTAAATTTCTTTAATAAATCAGAAGTGTAGAGTTTGTTCAAAACTGATAGTCAGACTTTGAAATAACGAAACGCCATCTTATGAAATTAAACGAACTCTATGTATTATTGGTAGTTGACAGTGTAATGATCGTCAGCTCGATTTATTTGCTTCTTAGTACAACTTCACGTCAAGACTGGTCACTATATCAATTTTCACATGTGCTTCTAGACGTTGAATTTGAATGTCTTAGCACATTTCGTTATCAAAATTTATTTTTGTTTGTTCAGAAACTCACAGTTTTATAAACAAAGCATTTTGGCTAATTACATTTACTTTCGTAAGTCGCGATTAAGGATGCTAACGATTTAAATTTCTTTAATAAATCACCGTATATGTCTGGTCGCTATATCAATTGTCACATGTGCTCTAGACGTTTAATTTGAATATCTTAGCACACTCCGTTATCAAAATTTACTTTTCCTCGAAACCTCGTCACGCTGCCCGTTTGAAAAAGATTAGATACGAGAGCAGATGTTGTAACTTTTCCCCGACAAGTACCAACCTGTCGTCGTAAGTCATCACCAGCCGTAATTTAAATCATTATTTTTTATTACCACCTAACCTAGCATTACGGATATGTGAAGTCATTTTCTGGACTATAAATTTGAAAAGTAACACAAGTAATGGCTTTTAATGATAGTTCGATGCGCCATTATATTTTATTACCTATGTTTAAATGGCCACACTTGACAAATTGTTTTTCACATTCGAAACCCAGATCTGCGCCAAAACGGTACCCAGTGATAATTGACTTGGTGGAATTTCCCACCGCAAAAAAACTCTTACACAATAATTGACAGTTGCGTTAGTCACGTGTTAGTGGTACCAACTGCTCCAGCTCCGCCAACCTAATCCCACAAATCGCGTTACAACGTAAACACCAATTTCTATTTTAACCCGAAACCAATTTGCCACTGTCCGTGCCGCCACATCATTCCACGAACCGCCAAAGCCCGCTGCCATTGCGACACGTGCCAACATTAATTAATCACGTATGATACTTCTCGGAATCGGATCCATAGACAGCTCGCTGCCACTTAATTCGCGGAATTCCCCCGAAGGAAAATTGCCGCCGGATGACTCAACAGCTATTCCCCCGATTAACCCCGCTTTCGCTCCAGGTGCTGCTATCAGTATTATTGGCCTTCGCTGCGCTGCAGCTGTGCCACTCCAGAAGACTGACCGACGACATGGACAACGAGATCCCGGTGGTCTCCGGCAACCCCGCCGCCTTCCGCCAGCAGGACGAGTGGATCAAGATCAGCGCCGCCCCCAAGGCGGCCATCCGCAAGCTGACGGGGTCGTACGTCGAGCTGGAGTGCGAAGCCATGGGCTCGCCGCCCCCGACTCTTCAATGGTTCCGCGGGAACCATGCGCTCACCGAGGTAGTATAGGCAACCAAAGTTGCACCCTTTGCTCACTATTTACTTGTAGCACCAGAGCTATGACACCAACACCATCTCCGAGGTGCCGTCGCAAGGGTTGGGGAAAATCCGCGGTCGCCTCGTCATCAACTACCTCCTCCCGGTGCACGCCGTCACCTTCACCTGCGTGGCCCAAAGCGGGTCCAAAGTGGCCACGGCGGACACCACCATCTACGTCATCAAAAAGGAAGGTTTTGACCGCAATTTCACCCAATTGTTGACCACCAAGGTCATTGGGGTTCACCACGTCCCGAGAATTTCCCTCTGGGCCCCTACTTACATGGACGTGATCGGTACCAACGTGGTTCTCCCTTGTCGCACCTTGGGCAACCCTAAACCCAGCCAAATGTGGATTGACCCTCAAGACCAGGTTGTAAGCGAGGGCGACGGTAGGGTTTCGGCCCTTCCCGATGGGTCTCTCAGTATTAGGTCGGTCAGTTGGGCCGATATGGGTGTCTACACTTGCATGGCGCGCAACATGGTGGGACAAGACTCCGTTGAGACCTTCCTCTACCCCATGAAGGTAACTCGATTGCTTGACAAGATGGCACCCTAATTAAGTTTTTGTTCCAGGAATCGAAATAACGAGAGGTGGTAGGGGGCCACTTCATGTCAATCTAGTCATTGTTCAGTTCGAGAATACTCGTAGGGTAGTTTGTCGTACGTTATTTATGGAAATTCCAGTTAGTATTTATGACTTAGGTATTTATATACGTAATAATTCAAGACATGTGTACTTATTTATATTAATGTAAGATTTGTAAGTAAATAAAGAAAATGTTAAGCATTATTGGTGTCCTTAGTGTATGCATGATAATGAATAAACAGTGCTAATTATTTTCACAGTGCAATATTAACAAATCCGGCCCTGGCCTTTCCAATCATTCGACGCTGTCATTGACATATGACATAAGTGTATGCAACCACCAATACACCAACCGGTTTTTGTTTATCTCAGTCCAGCGTGCCCATTACAACCGTAAACAAACATCAACAAATTCCATCCCACCCCTCTTTCTTATCTTTATTATCATTAATAAACAAAAACACGCTCTTATTACTCATCGCAGCTCCAAAACCAAATTCCCTAAGTCAGCTGGTCACTTTCGACAGTCCCCAGACCTGTCAATCGAATATGAAATTCGCAGTTTACTCATGATATTACCTTCACTTAAACACTAACAAAATGATCACTTTTTAACAAATTCGACTCCGAGGTAAGTCTCTATTTTCGTTAAAGCCGTTTGTCTGACCCTTCGTTGCAGCCCTGACGCGAAAGTGAGGTTAAGTAAAATGTACGAGAGCCCGAGCTCTTTGGAAGAACTGTGCCTGGACACGATTTGCGACAACATCCTCATCTACGTGAAACTGGAACGCACGACCCACCACGACTTCAGCAAAGGCAAACGCTACAAATTCGCGGACCCGGACCTGTTCCTTTTTAAGGAAATCTCGGAGAAACTGTTGGGGAAATTCCAGGAGAAGAACATACTATGCGACGCGTTGATGTACCTGTTCGACGAGAGGAACACGAAGCTGGGCTCGGTCAAGTTGAAGAACTGTAAAGTCACGCAGACCGGGCTCCAAGTGCTCAAGCAGCATAAAGTGGTGGATTTGGATTGCGTTAATTTGAAGAACGTGTGTATAGGGGATATTTTAGGTGAGTGGATTGTGGGGGCGGCGTGGGGTTGATTCTGTGTGTTGTAGATTGCCTCAACGACTGGTCGATGAAGAATCTGGCCAATGTGAATTTCTCAAAATGCACTTTCATTGATATGCAGCGGCACAGTTTGATGGTGAAGATCACGAACTTGAAGAACTTGCGGTCGTTGAATTTAGCGTACACAGAACTGAACCAATTAAGCTTTAAGATGGTGTGTGAGGATCTCAGGTTTTTAGAGAAACTAGATATTTCGGGAACGTTCGTCAAGGATCTCAGCCCGTTGCTTTTACTCAAGCATCTCGTCGGTCTTTCGATAAGTGTAAGTTGTTTGTTTGGCGGCCCTCGATGTTGTTGTTATCGGGCGTGGAGGTCGCATTATTTAGCGGAATGGCCTGCAGCGTTTTTTTTTTTTTTAATGGAAATTAATATTTATGTGTTTTTGATTGTGGCTGATAAAGTATGCAAGGAAAAGTCTTTGTTGGAATCGAAGGCGCGCCGGAGTTGTTTTCTTTTGACGAGTTTTTAGGGGATTTTTGTTAAGTCGGTGGTTGGTGGTATTGCCATTTTGCCGCCTTTTTTCGAATTGCAGCCAATCGGGGTCGAACTAAACCAACCAGTTATACAGATTTCGTTTGTTTATGCATTGTCGGTTCATTTCGTGTTCTATCGTAATAAAAATTAATGTCAAGTAACAAAAACTACAATTTTAACAAAAAATTCAATGAAATATTATTAATTAGTTTTTAAAATGACTCCAATTAATTTTGATCGATGTTTTGTAATAATCGTTAATTACAATTGTTATTTTTTAAAATGTGGCCATGTCTCATGTAGGTTCTAAGAATTTTTTTTTTTACGGTTGCCTGTGTGTGTAATGTCGAAAATATGGCTGTATTATGACACCATGACACGATTGATTGGCGATTTATCATATTCGCGTGACCTTACGTGTGCAAAAATTTAATCGTAAGATTTTCTTTTAATTTTGTTTTTTTTTTGACAAAATATTAATTAAAATTTCAGAAAATGATTACATATCAAAGAACACAAGAATCTTGGAATTCAGAATCCTGGAACTCACTATCTTGGGATCTAGAACCTTGGAATTTAGAATCTTGGAATCCAGAATTTTGAATAATGGAATTCAAGAATTTGATACTTTGGGTTTCAGATTTATTTTCTTTGATTGAACGCATTTTCCTGAACATTCAATATTTTTAATACTTTGGTCTAATATTTCAGGCCGGTAAAACTTAGTCCAACCATTCAATATCTTAGAATTTAGAATCTTGGAACTCAGAATTTTGGGATCCAAAATCTTGGAATCTAGACGTTTGGAATTTCAAAACTAACATGTAAAACACATTAAGAATTCTTGGTCACAGATTTCAAGAATTTGGATCTAAAATCTTAAATATAGAATCTTGGACTCAGGATTCCAAGATTTTGGATCCTAAGATTCTTAATTCTAGATTTCGAGTTCTAAGTTCAGAGATTTTAGATTTCCAGATTCCAAAATCTAGAATCTAAGATTCTTGGTACCAAGATTCTAGAAAGTGTCAAATTCTTCAATTCTATGATGCAGAATTCTTAATGTGTAATACATTTTTAGTTCTATTCTATTATTGCTAGATTCCGAGAACCTAGATACGAAGATTATAGATTACAGGATTCCGAGGTTTAAAATTTTGGGATCCAAAATCTTGGAATCTAGAATTTAGACTCTTGAAATCTAGAACCTTGAATCTAAAATATCGGAATCTAAAACATTAGAATCCTGGAATCTAGAATCGCGAAATTTAGAATCACTGAACTTAGAATCTCGGTTTTTAGAATTTTTTTAGTCTAGAATCTTGGAAATTATAATCTAGAATATTGGGATCCAGAACCTAAACTCTTGAAATCTAGAATATCGGAATCATGAATCCTGGTTTCTAGAATTTTTAGTCCAGAATCTTGGAATCTATAACCTAGAATATTAGGATCCAGAACCTAAAATATTGAAATCTAGAATCTTAGGATCTAAAATCTTTGAATGTAGAATCTTGGGATTCAAAATCTTGGAATCTAGAATTTGGACTTTCGGAATCTAAAACTTCGGAATCCTGTAATACATAATCTTGGAATCTAGAATCTTGGAATTTATAATCTAGAATATTGGGATCCAGAACCTAAAATATTGAAATTTAGAAGCTTGCTATCTAAAATCTTGGAATGTAGAATTTGGACTTTCAGAATCTAAAACTTTGGAATCCTGTAATCCATAATCTTGGGATCTAGGATCTTGAAATCTTGAAATTTAGAATCACTGAGCTTAGAATCTCGGAATCTAGAATCTCGGTATTTAGAATTTTTTTGTCTAGAATCTTGCAATTTATAATCTAGAATATTGGGATCCAGAACCTGAAATCTTGAAATCTAGAATCTCGGAATCATGAATCCTGGTTTCTAGAATTTTTTAGTCTATAATCTTGGAATTTATAACCTAGAATATTAGAATCCAGAACATAAAATCTTGAAATCTAGAATCTTAGTATCTAAAATCTTTGAATGTAGAATCTTGGGATTCAAAATCTTGGAATTTAGAATTTGACCTTTCGGAATATAAAACCTCGGAATCCTGTAGTCCATAATCTTTAATCTAGGATCTATTGAAATCTAGAATTACTGAACTTACAATCTCGGAATCTAGAATCTTGGTTTTTAGAATTTTTTAGTTTAGAATCTTGGAATCTATAACCTAGAATATTAGGATCCAGAACTTAAAATCTTGAAATCTAGAATCTTAGTATCTAAAATCCTTGAATGTAGAATCTTGGGATTCAAAATCTTGGAATCTAGAATTTGACCTTTCGGAATATAAAACCTCGGAATCCTGTAATCCATAATCTTTAATTTAGGATCTTGAAATCTAGAATCACTGAACTTACAATCTCGGAATCTAGAATCTTGGTTTCTAGAATTTTTTAGTCTAGAATCTTGGAATCTATAACCTAGATACCTAGAATATTGGGATACAGAACTTAAAATATTGAAATTTTGTATCTAAAATCTTAGAATCTAAAATCTTGGCCTAAAAAATCTTAGAATCTAGGATCTTGAAATCTAGAATCACTGAACGTAGAATCTCGGAATCCTAGAATCTTGGTTTTTAGAATTTTTTAGTCTAGAATCTTGGAATGTATAATCTAGAATATTAGGATCCAGAACCTAGAATCTTGGAATCTAGAATGTTGGAATTCAGAATCTTGGGATCCAAAATCTTGGAATCTAGAATTTGGACCCTCGGAATCTAAAACCTTGGAATCTTGTAATCCATAATCGTGGAATCTAGAATCGCGAAATCTAGAATCTTGGAATCTAGGATCCTGAAAGCTAGAATCCTAGTATTTAGAAGCTTCAGATTTCAAAACTAAAACGTAGAACTGAAAATGTATAACACTTTAAGAATTCTGGATCATAGAATTCAAGAATTTGAGACTATCTAGAATCTTGGAATATCGGAAACTAAAACGCCGAACTTAAAATCATATTATGAATTCTGGATCATAGCATTCAAGAATTTGAGACTCTAGAATTTTGGCACCTAGAATCTTGGAATCAAGAATCTTAGATTCTAGAACCTTGGAATCTGGTAATCTAGAATCTTTGATCTTAAAATCTCGGAATCCGTAATCTAAAATGACGGATTCCAGAATATAAATTCTTGAAATCTGAAATTTGAGAATCTAGAATCTTGGAATCCAGAATCTTGGAATTTCAAAACTAAAACGTAGAACTTAAAATCACATTAAGAATTCTGGATCATAGAATTCAAGAATTTGAGACTCTAGAATTTTGGCACCTGGAATCTTGGAATCAAGAATCTTAGATTCTAGAATCTTGGAATCTGAGAATCTAAAATCTCTGATCTGAAAATCTCGGAATCTAGAATCTTGGAATCTGTAATCTAAAACGATGGAATCCAGAATCTAAAATCTTGAAATCCGAAATCTTAGAATCTAGAATCTTGGAATCCAAGATCTTGGAATTGGAATCTATAATTTCGACTCTTAGAATCTAGAACCTCTAATCTAAACTCCCGCAATGTAGAATATCGGAATCTATAACCTCGAAATTCTGTAATCCATAATCTTGGAATCTGTAATCTAAAATATTGGGATCCAGAATCAAAAATCTTTAAATCTAGAATCTTTGAATCATGAATCTTGGAATTCATCAGAATCTTCGAACTCAGACTCTTGGAGTCCAAAACTTTGGAATCTAGAATTTGGACTCTCGAAATCTAGAATCCCATAATCTAGAATATCAGAACCTAAAACCTCTGAATCCTGTAATTATCATTTTGGAATCAAGAATCTTGGATTCTAAGATCCTGAAATCTAGAATCTTGAAATTTCAAAACTAAAACGTAGAATTTAAAATGTATATCAGATTAAGAATTCTGGATCATAGAATTCAAGAATTTGAGACTTTCTAAAATCTTTGAATCAAGAATCTTGGAATCTGGAAATCTATACTCTTGGAATCTTTGATCTAAAATATTGAAGTCCAGAATAAAAAATGTTGAAATCTAGACTCTTAGATTCTAGAATTTTGGAATCCAGAATCTTTGAACTCTTGGGATCCAAATAGGAATCGGAATCTAGAACCTCGAATCTAGAATCTGGTAATCTAAAGTCTTAGTATTTAGAAGTTTGGAATCGTAAAACTTAAAATCTATAACACTTTAAGAATTCATCACCATAGAATTCAAGAATTTGCGACTTTCTAGAATCTTGGGATCTAGAATCTTCGAATCTGGAAATCTAGTATCTCTGAACTTAGAATCTCGCATTCTAGAATCTTGGATTTTCTAATCTCAAATATTGGGGTCCAGAATAAAAAATATTGAAATCTATAATTTTAGAATCCAGAATCTTGAAAAATAGAATCGTGGAATCAAGAATCCAGAAGTCTAGAACCTTGAAATTCAGAATTTTTGAACTCAGAATCTTAGGATTCACAATTTTGGATTCTAAGAATTTGGAGGCCCCTAATCTAGAATATCGAAATCTAAAACCTCTGAATTCTGTAATCCATCACCTTGGAATATAGAATCTTGGAATCTGGAAATCTAGGATTTTTAATCTAGAATGGTGGAATCTAGAATCTTAGAATCTAGAATTTTGGAATCCAGAATCTTAGAATCTAGAATCACAGAATTTCAAACTTGAAACTCGGAACTTAAAATGTTTTAGACATTAAGAATTTTGGATAATAGAATTCAAGAATTTGAGACTCTAAAATCTTGGCATCAAGAATCTTGGGTCTAGAATCTTAAATTCTATAATCTTGGAATCTGGAAATCGAGAATCTTGGAATCTGTAATCTAAAATATTGAGATGCAAAATAAAAAACCTTGAAATCTAGAATCTTAGATTCTAGAATTTTGGAATCCAGAATCTTGCAGGGTATCCAGTGTCCAAGTAACTGGAATTCAGAATCTGGAATCCAAAATTTTGGGTTCTAGAATTTGGACTCTCGGAATCTAGAACCTCGAATCTAGAATCCCGTAATCTATAATATCGGAATCTAGAGTCTTGGAATCTAAGATCCTGAAATCTAGACTCTTAGTATTTAGAAGTTTGGGATTTCAAAACAAAAACGTAAAACTTAAAATTTATATAACAAGAATTCCGCATCATAGAACTCAAGAATTTGAAACTTTCTAGAATCTTGGGATCTAGAATCTTAGATTCTGGTATCTTGGAATCTGGAAATCTAGGTTCTCTGAAATTAGAATCTCGGAATCTAGATTTTTTAATCTAGAATCTGGGAATCTGTAATCTAAAATATTGAGATCCAGAATCAAAAATGTTGAAGTTTAGAATCTCGGAATCCAGAATCTTGGAATTCAGAATTTTTGAACACAGAATCTTGCGATCCACAATTTTGGATTCTAAAATCTGGACTCTCGGAATCTAGAATCCCGTAATCTAAAACCTCTGAATCTAAAATCTTGAGACTTTCTACAATCTTGGCATCTGGAATCTTAGCATCAAGAATCTTGGAATCTGGAAATCTAGAATTTTGAAATCTAGAAGCTTACAATATAGAATTTTGGAATCCAGAATCTTGGACTCTAAAATCTTGGAATCCAGAATCTTGGAAATCAGGATATTAGTATTTAGAATCGCAGCATTTCAAAACGAAAACTTGGAACTTAAGATGTTCAATAAGACATTAACAATTTTGGATCATAGAATTCAAGAATTTGAGACTTTGGGGGTTTAAAATGTATTTTTTTGAGTTAACGCATTTTTCTGAAAATTCAATATTTTTAGAAGGTTAAAATTGGGATCCAGAGTCTAGAATATTCGAAGTTGGAAATCTAGAATTTTGGAGTTCAGAATCTTGGAATTTTAAAACTAAAACTTGGAGCTTAAAGTGTTATACATAAGTATTAATAATTTTGGATCATAGAATCCAAAAATTTCAGACTTTGGTCATTTCAAGTCAGATCAAGTTAGGTTAAGTCAAAGCAAGATTGAGTTTAGTCAGGTCACAAAAGATCAGGCTAAGTCAATTTTTCATTCACCTGACTTGACTTGACTTAAAATGAGATGAACTGGCCTGCCCTGGGGTGACCTAATATGACTTAACCTAAACTACCTGACTTGACTTTTAATGACCTGACTTGACGTGACTTAAGCTATAATTTCGAAAATTATCCATCTCTCTTAACTCAAACCGGCTCTCTGTTCCAGGACTTATCCCAAGCGAAAAACTACGTCTCCACCCTCACCCAACTGCCCCACCTCCGCCACCTCGACGCCAGCATCTTCAACGAAAAACTCGACAGCATGTCCGAATCGTCATCGCCGTGCGCCATCTTACCCATCATCGAGGACCCCGCGACCCTCCCCCACCTCGTCTCCCTCGACGTCTCCGGCTGGCGCGACTTCATCCCCACCGAGAGCCTCCACCGGTTCGTCGAGAGCCACCCCCGCCTAGAATTCCTCGGCATAGTTCTAAGCGACTGCACGTTCGACCCGACCTTCAGCGCCACCGCCTGGCCCAACCTCACCATCGCCGGCCTGGGGAACGAAGCCCAGATCAAGGTCGCCCTGAAGAAGTACTGGGAGCGCTCCAACTACGTCCAGAAGGCGCTCTACCACCTCTTCCAGCTGACCAACCTGGCGCCGGAGGCGCGGCCCGACATGTTCAACCTCGTCCTCCCGGTGATGGCGGCGCACTCGAACAAGTTCGGGGTGCAGATGGCGGCGACGGCGTGTTTGTATAATTTGACGAGGGGCGACCTGAGCAAGAAGATCCACCCCCGGGCGCTCAGTCGCGGCGTGAACTTGACCCTCTACGCCATGGAGTGCTTCCCGGACGAGTTCCAGCTGCAGAAAAACTCGCTGCTGACGCTGTGCAGCGACACCATCCTCCAGGAGATCAACTTCGACCGGTTCCGCTGCGCGAAGCTGGTGCTGGACGCGCTGTGCGCGTTCGAGGACGTCAACATGAACCGGATGGCGGTGGCGATCTGCAGCATCCTGGCGGCGAAGGTGAGCACGGAGGAGACGTCGGAGCTGGGAGCCCGCCCGGTGTACATGCGGAAGCTCCTCGCCATGGTGCAGAACCGCGTCGAGTCCATCACGTCCGACATAACCTTGAAATTCACGCTGAGCGCGCTGTGGAACTTGACGGACGAGAGCGCCGCCACCTGCACGGTGTTCCTGGAACAAGGCGGCGCCTACCTGTTCCTCAACGTGCTGAAGACGTTCAAGAACGACTGCGCCATCGAGACGAAGGTGCTGGGGCTGCTGAACAACATCGCGGAGGTGGTGAAGTTGAGGCACAGTTTGATGATGGACTCGCTGATGAACGAGCTGTTCGGGTTGCTGAAGTCGGAGAACATCGACGTGAGCTACTTCGCTGCGGGGATCGTGGCGCACTTGGCGTCGGACGGGGCGGAGCAGTGGACGGTGTCGAGCCACTCGAGGAAGGAGATGCTGGGGGAGCTGCAGAGCGCGGTGTCGCAGTGGAAGGTGCCGGACAGCGAAATGGTGGCCTACAGGAGTTTTAGGCCGTTTTTCTCGCTGCTGAGGACTGATATGGATTTCCAGGTGCAGCTGTGGGCGGTGTGGGCGATACATCACGTGTGTACGAAAAATCGTAAGTAGATGTCAAACTGAACAAGACGCGATGTGTTGCCAACGTAATTTTTTTTTTACACTAAATTTCAAAGCTTGCTAGATGGCTGTTTTCGATCACGTCATCAATGTTATTTTTTGGATGTATTTTTTTGGTATTAAAGTTAATATATATATTTACAATCACCAAAATGGATGATATCATCTTTAACAAATTTAAAACAAACTTCAAACACGGTCTGGTATCACACAGTATTGGGTTGCGCGTCAAATTTAATTTTCCATCTAAATTATAGCTTCATTGTGCGATTTTTTTTTACATTTCGCTTCTTACAGCAAAAAACAACATATTATAAAGTCGTTTTTAGTTGAAAGTAATTGTTTTTGTGTCATTTTTACTTCCCTGGCATTTGTGGTTTATGAATCCGCTTTGAGTAAATCGTTAATCAAAATTAATTGTGGTATTTTTCTGAAAATTTCATATTTTTAAAGATTACAATTCTGGATCTAATAATTCAGAACGGTAGAACGGTAGATGTTCAACAATTTTGGAATTAAGAATCACGGAGCTCAGAATCTTGGAATCTAGAATTCTGGAATTTAGAATCTTGGTATTTAGAAGCTTGGAATTTCAAAACTAAAACGTAGATTTGAAAATGTATAACATATTAAGAATTCTGGATCATAGAATTCAAGAATTTGAGGATTTCTAGAATTTTGGCATCTAGGATCCTGGAATCTTGGAATATTGGAATCTAAAATCTCGGATTTCTGTAATCCATAATCTGGGAATCTAGAATCTTGGTATTTCAAAACTAAAACGTAAAAGTTAAAATCACATTAAGAATTCTGGATCATAGAATTCAAGAATTTGAGACTTTTAAAATCTTGGCATCTGGAATCTAGAATCTCGGAATCTAGAATCTTTTAATGTAGGATCTTAAAATCTAGAATCTTGGAATCCAAAATCTTGTAATCTAGAATCCTGAAATCTTGGAACATCGGAATCTAAAACCTCGGAATTCTGTAAGCCATAATCTTGGAATCTAGAATCTTAGAATTTCAAAACTTAAAATAATATTAAGAATTCTGGATCATAGAATTCAAGAATTTGAGACTCTAGAATTTTGGCACCTGGAATCTTGGAATCAAGAATCTTAAATTCTAGAACCTTGGAATCTGGAAATCTAGAATCTCTGATCTTAAAATCTCGGAATCTAGAATCTTAGAATCCGTAACTGACGGAATCCAGAACCTAAAATCTTGAAATCTGAAATCTTAGAATCTAGAATCTTGGAATTTCAAAACTAAAACGTAGAACTTAAAATCACATTAAGAATTCTGGATCATAGAATTCAAGAATTTGAGACTTTTGGCACCTGGAATCTTGAAATAAAGAATCTTATATTCTAGAACCTTGGAATCTGGAAATCTAGAATCTCTGATCTTAAAAACTCGGAATCTAGAATCTTGGTATTTCAAAACTAAAACGTAGAACTTAAAATCACGTTAAGAATTCTGCATTATAGAATTTTCTAGAATGTTGACATCAAGAATATGGGATCTACAATTTTTTTATTCTAGAATCTTGGAATCTGTAATCTAAAATATTGGGATCTAGAATAAAAAATGTTTACATCTAGAATCTTGGAATTCAGAATTTTTCAACTCAGAATCTGAGGATCCACAATTTTGGATTCTAGAATTTGGAATCCTGTGTTCTAAAATATCGAAATCTAAAACCTCTGAACTATGTAATCCATCGTCTTGGAATCTAGAATTCTGGGATCTACGATTTTTTAATCTAGAATCTTGGAATCTATAATCTAGAATATTGCGATCCAGAATCTTAGAATCCAGAATTTTAGAATCTTTGAATCTAGAATGCTGAAATCTGGAATCTTGGAAGTCAAAATTTCAGTATTTAGAATCACAGAATTTAAAAACTAAAACTTGGAACTTAAAATGTTTTAGACATTAAGAATCTTGTGATCTAGAATCTTGGAATCTGTAAATCTAGAATCTCTGAACTTACAATCTGGAAATCTAGAATCTCTGAACTTAGAATCTCGGAATCTAGGATTTCTTAATATAGAATCTTGGAATCTGTAATCTAAAATATTGGGATCCAGAATCAAAAATGTTGAAATCTAGAATCTTGGAATCCAGAATCTTGTAATCTAGAACCCTGAAATCTTGGAATATCGGAATCTAAAACCTCGGAATTCTGTAAGCCATAATCTTGGAATCTAGAATCTTAGAATTTCCAAACTTAAACGTAGAACTTAAAATAATATTAAGAATTCTGGATCATAGAATTTAAGAATTTGAGACTTTCTAAAATCTTTGCATCTGGAATCTCGGCATCAAGTGTCTTGGGATCTAGAATCTTGAAATTTGGAAATCTAGAATCTTCGAGTCTAGAATTTTTAAGTTAGAATCTTGGAATTTATAATGTAGAATTTTGGAATCCAGAATCTTACAAACTAGAATCTCGGAGTCTAGAATGCTGAAATCTAGAAACTTGGAATTCAGAATCTTAGTATCTAGAATCACAGAATTGCAAAACTAAACTGAAATCTAGAATCTTAGTATCTATCTTCAATCTTAGAATTTCAAAACTAAAACTTGGAGCTTAAAATGTAATACATATATATTAAGAATTTTGGATATGGAATTCAAGAATTTAAGACCTTGGGTTTAAGATGTATTTTCTTTGCGTCAACACCTTCTTCTGAAAATTTAATATTTTTAAAAGCTTAAAATTCTGGTTCTAAGAACTCAGAATCTTGGGATCTAGAATCTTGGAATTTAGAATCTTGACATCCATAATTGAATTTTGAAATATAGAATTTTGGAATCTAGAATTCTGGAATCTAAATTCTTGGGATCTAGAATTTTGGAATCTAGAATTTTTTAATCTGGAAATATAGGATCTCTTAACTTAGAATCTCTTAATCTAGAATCCTGTGATCTAGAATCTGGGAATTTAGAATCTCGAGATCCATGATTCAGTCTTGAAATATAGAATCTCGGAATCTAGAATCCTGCGATCCAAAATCTTGGGATCCATAATTCAATCTTGCAATCTAGAATCATGGAATATATTCAGAATCTAAATTCTTGGGATCTAGACTTTTAGAATCTAGAATCTTTTAATATGGAAATATCGGGTCTCTGAACTTAGAATCACGGAATCTAGGAATCCTGTAATCTAGAATATTGGAATTTAGAATCTTGGCATCTATAATTCAATTTTGAAATCTAGAAACTTGGAATCTAGTATCCTGGAATCTAAATTCTTGGGATCTAGAATTTTGGAATCTACAACCTTTTAATCTGGAAATATAGGATCTCTGAACTTGGAATCAAGGAATCTAGAATCCTGTAATGAAGAATCTTGAAATTTAGAATCTTGGGACCCATAATTCTTCAATCTTGAAACCTAGAATCCTGGAATCTGAATTCTTGGAATCTAGAATCTTTTAATCTGGAAATAGCCGATCTCTGAACTTAGAATTTCGGAATCTAGAATCTTGGAATTTAGAATCTTGAGATCCATAATTCAATCTTGAAATATAGAATCCTGGAATTTAAAATCTTGGTATCTAGAATTTTGGAATATAGAATCTTTTAATCTGGAAATATCGGATCTCCGAACTTAGAATTTCGGAATCTAGAATCCTGTGATCTAGAATTTTGGAAATTAGAATCTTGGTATTTAGAAGCTGGGAATTTCAAAACTAAAACGTAGAACTGAAAATCACATTAAGAATTCTGGATCATAGAATTCAAGAATTTGGGACTTCTAAAATCTTGGCAACTGGGATCTTGGGATGAAAAATTTTGAAATCTGGGAATCTAGAATCCTGGGATCTATAATTTTTAACCTCGAATCTTGGAATTTATAATCAAGAATTTTGGAATCCAGAATCTTGGAATCTGGAAAACTAGTATCTCTGAACTTAGAATCTCGGAATCTAGAAGCTTGGAATCTGTAATCTAAAATATTGGGGTCCAGAATAAAAAATATTGAAATCTATAATCTTGGTATCGAAAATCTTGGACACTAGAATCTTGGAATCTAGAATCTCTTAATGTAGCATCTTAAAGTCTAGAATCTTGGAATCCAGAATCTTGTAATCTAGAATCCTGAAATCTTGGAATATCGGAATCTAAAACCTCGGAATTCTGTAAGCCATAATTGGCATCTGGAATCTTGGCATCAAGTGTCTTGGGATCTAGAATCTTAAAATTTGGAAATCTAGAATCTCTGAACTTAGAATCTCGGAATCTAGAATTTTTAAGCTAGAATCTTGGAATTTATAATCTAGAATTTTGGAATCCAGAATCTTACAAACTAGAATCTCGGAATTTAGAATGCTGAAATGTAGAAACTTGGAATTTAGAATCCTGAAATCTTGGAATATCGAAATCTAAAATCTCGGAATTCTGTAAAATCTTGGAATCTCGAATCTTGGAAATTCAAAACTTAAACGTAGAACTTAAAATCATATTAAAATTTCTGGATCATAGAATTCAAGAATTTGAGACTCTCTAAAATCTTGGCATCTGGAATCTTAGCATCAAGTAAGTGTCTTGGGATCTAAAATCTTGAAATCTGGAAATCTACAATCTCGGAATCTAGATTCCTGGTATCTAGAATTTTTAATGTGGAATGTTGGAATTTATAATCGGGAATTTTGGCAGCCACAATCTTGGATTTCAAAATCTAGAATCTTGAAATGTAGAATGGTGAAATCTAGAAATTTGGAATTCAAAATCTTAGTATTTAGAATCACAGAATTGCAAAACTAAACTGAAATCTAGAATCTTAGTATCTATCTTCAATCTTAGAATTTCAAAACTAAAACTTGGAGCTTAAAATGTAGTACATATTAAGAATTTAAGACCTTGGGTTTACGATGTATTTTCTTTGAGTTAACACCTTCTTCTGAAAACTGAGGATCTTGGAATTTAGAATCTTGGAATCTAAATTCTTGAAATCTATAATCTTTTAATCTGGAAATATAGGATCTCTGAACTTAGAATCTCGGAATCTAGAATCCTAAGATCTAGAATCTTGGAATTTAGAATCTTGAGAACCATAATTCAATCTTGGAATCTAGAATCCTGGAATCTAAATTCTTAGAATCTAGAATCCTGTGATCTAGAATTTTGGAATTTAGAATCTTGAAATCCATAATTCAATCTTGAAATATAGAATCATGGAATCCTGGAATTTAAATTCTTGGGATCTAGGATTTTGGAATCTAGAATCTTTTAATCTGGAAATATCGGATCTCTGAACTTATTATCTCGGAATCTAGAATCCTGTCATCTAGAATTTTGGAATTTAGAATCTTGGGATCCATTATTCAATTTTGAAATCTGCGATCTTGGAATCTAGTATCCTGGAATCTCAATTCTTGGCATCTAGAATTTTGGAATTTACAATCTTTTAAACTGGAAATATAGGATCTCTGAACTTAAAATCTCGGAACCTAGAGTCCTGTGATCTAGAATCTTGGAATTTAGATTCTTGAGACCCATAATTCAATCTTGAAATATAGAATTCTTGGGATCTAGAATTTTCGAATCTAGAATCTTTTAATCTAGAAATATAAGATCTCTGAACTTAGAATCTCGGAATCTGGAATCCTGTGATCTAGAATCTTGGAATTTAGAATCTTGGGATCCATAATTCAATCATGAAATCTGCTACCTTGGAATCTAGTATCCTGGAATCTAAATTTTTGGGATCTAGAATTTTGGAATTTACAATCTTTTAAACTGGAAATATAGGATCTATGAACTTAGAACTTCGGAATCTAGAATCCTGTCATCTAGAATCTTGGGATCTAGAATTTTGAAATCTAGAATCTTTTAATCTGGAAATATAGGATCTCTGACCTTAGAATCTCGGAATCTAGAATCCCGTGATCTAGAATCTGGGAATTTAAATTCTTGAGATATAGAATCATGGGATCTAGAATCCTGGAATCTAAATTCTTGGGATCTAGAATTTTGGAATCTAGAATCTTTTAATTTAGAAATTGAGGATCTCTGACCTTAGAATCTCGGAATCTAGAATCCCGTGATCTAGAATCTGGGAATTTAAATTCTTGAGATATAGAATCATGGGATCTAGAATCCTGGAATCTAAATTCTTGGGATCTAGAATTTTGGAATCTAGAATCTTTTAATTTAGAAATTGAGGATCTCTGAACTTCGAATCTCGGAATCTAGAATCTTCGAATTTAGAATCTTGGGATCTAGAATTTTCGAATTTACAATCTTTTAATCGTGAAATATAGGATGTCTGAACTTAGAATCTCGGAATCTAGAGTCCTGTGATCTAGAATGTTTTAATCGAATCTGGAATTTAGAATCACGGAACTCAGAATCTTGGAATCTAGAATTTTGGAATCATAATTCAATCTTCAAATCTAGAATCCTCGAATCTATATTCTAGATCTAATAAATCAGAACGGTAGAACGGTAGATCTTCTACAATTTAGAATCTTCGAATGTGAATCTTGGAATTTTGGCATCTAAAATATGGGGATCCAGAATCCAATGGTGAAATCTAGAATTTTTTTATCTGAAAATCTAGAATTTTGGAATCTAAAACCTTTTATTCTAGAATCGCGGAATCTAGAACTTCTGAATCCAAAATCTTGGAATCTAGAATCTTGGTATTTAGAATCATAGAATTTAAAACTAAATGTTGAAAATTTAAATGTATTACACGCTGATAATTCTAGATGGTAGAATTCAAGAATTTGAGATTTTGAATTGAAGATACATTTACACATATATTTTTTGAGATAACTCATTTTTCTGAAAATTCAATATTTTTAATAGCTTAAAATTCCGGATCTGATAATTCAGAACGGTAGAAATTATTAAGTCTAACAGTTTAGAATCTTGGAATTTAGAATCTTGGAATCCAGAATATTGGGATCTAGAATCTTAGTATCTTGGAATCTAGAATTCTGGAATCGAAATTCTTGAGATTTAGAATTTTGTAATCTAGAATGCTTTAATCTGGAAATAGGATATCTGAACTTAGAATCTCGGAATGTAGAATCGTGTGATCTTGAATCTTTTAATCTAGAATCTTGAAATTTTGAATATTGGGATCCAGAATCTGGGCATCTAAAATATTGAGATCCAGTATCCCCTTTTGAAATCTAAAATCTTGCCATCCAGAATTTTGGAATCTAGAATCTTTGAGTCTAGAATCTTTGAACTTACAATATCGAAATATAGAATCTTTTAATCTAGAACCTGGAAATCTAGAATCTTGAAATCTAGAATCTCGGAATCTAAAACCCTCTGAAACCGGAATCTTGGAATCTAGAATCTTGATATTTAGAATGTTAGAATTACAAAACTAAAACTTGAAGATTTAAGTGTATTACACACTGATAATTCTCGATCGCAGAATTCAAGAATTTGAGAATTAGAGTTTAAGATATATATATTGTTTATGAGATAACTCATTTTTCTGAAATTTCAATATTTTTAAAAGCTTAAAATTCGTGATCTAATAATTCAGAACGGTAAAAATTAAGTTCAACAATTTAGAATCTTGTAATCCAGAATTTTGGCATCTAGAATCTTAGTATTTAGACTCTTAGAATCTCAAAGCTAAAACTTGAAACTTAAAAGTATTACACACTAAGAATTCTGGATCATAGGATTCAAGACTTTGAGGCTTGGATTTTTTTTAAATAACTCATTTTTCTTAAAATTCCGTACTTTTAGATGCCCAAAATTCTCGATCTAATAATTCAGAATGGTAGAACTTCAGTCCAGCAATGAGAATCGTAGAGTTTAAAATCTCGGAGTTCAGGATCTCGAAACTCATAATCCTGGAACATAGAATTCCGGAACGCAGAATCTTGGAATCACGAGGTCTAGAAATTTGGAATCTTAGGATAAAAATATTACAATCTTAAAATTTCAAAACTAAAACTTGGGCGTTTAAAATGTGGTATATATATATAGGTACTTAACTTTGGCAATGGACAGGATACAACAGATTAAATTTTGTACAAGTACGGACCTTTTATACCTGAAAAGGGAGCCGCGCTACCTGCTCTTACAATAGGATGAAGTGTACATTTTTCTTAGAAAGGCGGCGTACCTGCAACTTTAAACTTAAGGTTTTCCTTTGTTAGTTTCAGGTGTACAAACAAAATTAACTTTCTTTTTTGCCTGAAGACGAGACTGTGCATCGAAACACCGTGGACACTTTGCATGTTGTAGATACGAATTTATGTAGGAAAAATTTAGGATCACGTCATCAAGTCTTTCGAAGTTACAATTTTGTGTGACTGTAGTATTGACAATTCTGTGACTTTAATTGAATGTGCACTATGCCATCAAAACAATTACTAAATCGGAAACTTTTGTTTATCACGGGTCAACCGATTTAAAACCGTCCATTAAAACTACGTCACAAAATAAATCTCCATAATGAGTGTCTTATTAATACAGCATTTTAAAGAAATCGATAAGATTAAGGATTCTGACGTAAGATGTATTAAAATCATCTCGTCGAGCATCAGACGGCAATCGTTCGTTTAAAAATCAATAACAAAATACGTCTAGTAATGATTGTTTTTTTTTTTCAGCGAAGCGCTACTGCGTGATGCTGCAAGAAGAAAAAGGCCACCTCCTCCTCAACGACCTCATTAACTATAGCGATTCGCACCCCGATATTAAACTAATCTCATTGCAAATTCTCGAAACCGTGGCCGGGCATGTTTGAATAGGTGAGAGTGTCTTATTGTGATTTATTAAATTGACAGTACCAATCAGTAAAATGTTTTTTTATGATCGCTTTATAAGTTGTATATTTTTTTCCTATTTCTTTAGGATTGTTGACTTGTTGTTTCTACTTATCTAAAGTAATTATTAATTTTAAGTCTGATTTGTTTTAAAGAGGTGAAAGCGCTGACCCGCCGGGACTATCGTTCAGAAATTACAACTTTTTGTACATCGCCTAGGTCAAGCATCAGTTGTTATTGATTTTTTACAGGCTAACAGCAAAACATCGCCGTACGTTGGCTGTTTTAGGCTAGATGAAAGTATTAGAGATCTTGGTCTAGTTGTCGGTTTATTCGCTCTATTTTCCCCGGGAAAATAGACGCAGGAGTACCACCAAACGGAGACGCTTTGTTGAAATTATTTATTGTAGCTGAATTTTCTTGTGATATTTTTCCCACCGAGCACCTTCACCTTTTCGCTCTTTTCGGTTGTGTTATTAAGAAACGTGCCAATACGATGTATAGTGTCCTGTACAAACTATGTATAAATGTTAGTTTAATTTTATTGTACGAACTAGTCAAATATATCACACGTTGACAACGTCGTTGTTTTATTCGATTTTGATAATGCACGCCACTGGCTCGCACGTCCACCCAACTTTTCGAACTTGGCGCGTCCGCGCTGCCAACCCCCGCGCAAAAAGTGTCACGGAGGCGCCGTCGTCCCGGCGCCTCCCGTGTATCCCCGTGGCGAAAAAAGCGCGCTTTCGCGGGCGCCCGCCTCGGGGGCGGCGTCCCTTCCGCGATGCGTCGTCACCGAGCCGCGGGGGCGCGCGTCCCCGCGCTGCGGCCGCCTTTCCTCGCGGCCCCGTCTGGGGGAATTTGGCAGTGTGAGGTTTGCGGTTGGCGGACACGCGCAATCATCGTTCTTGTTCGTAGTTCCGATCCCCTCTCAGTATGTTCGGGTGCACCATGTTCCCCGTTTCACAGTGCGGACCGAGGACTGCACAAAGCGCAATGTACCTGCGCCATTACTGTGGAGAGGAACTACGAACAGTTCTGTCAAAGTATATTCGTTTTTCTCGCTACAGGACGACTTTAAATGCAGAATAACGTAACGGAATTGACGCAAAGATTACTACGAGCCCTCGACAGTAATTACAATGTAAGAATTTCCATGTTTTTTACTAAATAACACCCGAACGAACCCGAAAAGCGTACACCATTGCGAGTGGCGACCAGGTGGACTGCAGCCGTGCAAACGCGACCCGAAATCGCGGAAAAAGTGACCGAAACCACCGTGGAAACGTCAAAAACGCGATGGGTTGCACCCACGAGTGCGAAGGCGGCTGTGGAACAAGCGAACGTTGACGTTTGAGCTGCGGCGCCCCCACGAGACCCCCGGGGCGCACCTGACGCGATCGCGCGACTTAGTGCGGGTAGTGGTTGGTCGCGAACAGGCGGCGGTGAAGTGGTGACAGATTGGAGTGCGAGGGGGCCCCCAGTCGGTGATCGGTTGCTCAAACAGCCCCCACAAACGCGTCGCGGCGGTGTTTCGCGCGACCTCGAGGCGTTCAGTGCGATTGGAACAGGCGGCTGTGGCGGGTTGACATTTGGCGAAAAAAGGGGCTGCAGCCGCATTGTCGCGTCCCACTACCCCCTTATACCGTCCCGAGTGTGTCCGTGCCGCCCCCTGGGTGTTTTTTGCAACCTAGTTGGGTTTTTTCGGGTGTCTTGTAACTAGTTAACCACACACTACACAGTGCATAGGCGGCTGTGGAATCGCGAAAATGACATTTCGTTGGGGCTCTTTGATTGGTTAATTTTCAGCTGCCATTTTGTTGGTTTAAGGGGGCTCACTAACGCTTTGTTTGTCCCCAGGTCATTGACATGCCTGCAGTCATCGAAATCGTATCGCTCCTCGAAAAAGTCACAATCACCAAAGAACTGCTCGAGGTAAGTCTTGACTCGTGTGTGGTTCGTACTCACCGCGGTGTTGCAGACCACCCGACTCGGCAAGCACGTGAACGAGCTGCGCCGCAAGACCGACAACGACTCTTTATCGAAGCGAGCCAAGGAGTTGGTGAAGAAATGGCGCAACATGGTGTTGCCCGACTCCAACGGGCAACTCAAGACCCTGCCCGAGGAGAAGAAGCGGCCCCCGAACCGGTCGCCGTCCGCGGACACGAAGAGGCCAAAACTGAACGGTCAAACGACCGAGTTGGAGCTGTCGGACAACTCCAACTCGAGCTTCAAAGATGTGATAAGTACGAAATTAAAACGTGATGTGATCCTTATAAATTCCGATTCGAACTCGAGTTTACCCGAAGCCAAACAGGAGCCGCTGCTGGAGCAGCAGCTGCCGAAGAAGCGCGGCCGGAAAAAAGGCTCGAAAAACCACAAGAACCTGATCGACGAGGCGGAGACGTCGTTCACGAACAAGCTGGCGGTGTCGCGGGGGAACTCCAAGGTGAAGACGACGCAGGAGCTGATCGCGGGCTTGCAGAATAAAAATAGCTTGAAGGAAGATCTGACGCTGCGGGCCGCTAAATTGACCGAGCGGGTGTCCATCATCGACCAGAAGCTCAACACGAACGCCAACCGGTACAAGAACTCGCAGCGCAAAGGCTTCCAGAAGATCAGTCTGGGCGAGCGCAGCGAGCGCGTCATCGAGTCGGGCTCGGTGATCAACGACAAGTCGCTGATCCCCGACGAGGAGGTGATCATCGTGGACGACGTGGAGCCGGCGGAAGAAAAGGCGGAAACGCCGCCGCCGCCGCCGTCACCGCAGGAGCACAAAGTGACGTCGCTGAGCGTGGAGGAGGCGCTGGCGCAGCTGCCCCCGGTGGACCGAGGGGTGTTGGAGGAGCCGGAGCCCCAGCCGCACTGCTCGTGCGTGCTGAAGGAGCACAAGGACTTCGCCGTGGACGAGAGCGACGACTTGGGGCTGCCGTTCGAGTTCGTCGAGGACAGCGAGTGCGCCGCCAGGCTGCACTTCGAGGAGGAGGCGCGCAAGGAGCAGATCACGCCCGAGGACCTCCACTCGAAGCACGTCGAGAGCGTCAACGGGAACTGGGGGGTGGGGGGCGCGAAAGGGGGGCCCGAGCTGGGCGAGGACGGTCTTTTCGTGAACGTAGTGCCTAATGTAAATACCGAGAGTATACCGAAGGATGTCAAAGCGGACTTTTCGTGCGAGAATTACAAGAAGTACAGCATCTCAGAGTGCGGGGAGGAGGAGCGGACAGGTGATAGTGGTAGAGTGTTTCGGGAGTGGCACGAGGTCCTCGACACACCTTCCTATAACGGCGAAATTTTCAAAATTTTGCCTTACGTTATTATAGATTAAAATACTAGTCTTGTATTTACACCTAAGAGAATGTTTGTTTCTTTCACTTACAAAGACGAGGGTTTTTTTGTAAGTTGGTTTATTACGAGGTGTCATATTGTTTTATGGAGGCCCGGCAACAACTGTGTAGGGTCGCTTACTTTATTTCCGTGTATAGTTCTTTTTTTTTTAATTATTACTATTGCACTGCTTTTATAATTGTGTATATTTTATTAGCTAGGCAATGTTTTCAAAGTGTTACAAGCTATGGTTATATATTTAAAAAAAAGTGTCAATCGCGTATTGGCTATTGTTAATTTATTAATTTTTTCTTGTTAATACGTTTCAGTGTTTCGATTCGCATTAATCCACTTTTTATCATTTTACGGGGTTTATGTCGAATTAGCCCGGAACGAACAGGGCGCTTTTTCTTCCGTTGTTGTCAGGTAAAACAAAATTCCCCATGTTCAGTTTATTGTAAATAAATTTAGTTCCCCCTTATCAAGATAGTTGTACAAACGATTCATTTCTCTAGTTCAAAAATGTCAGTGCATTGCATTTGTAATGTTCTTGATGATATTATTGCCTTTTACGACAAAAATAAAGATATTTTCTATAAAGCGACAGTCTTTCAATGTCACGTGAGCACGTGACACCGTTGCCGTAGCAACAGAGGCGGTTTTTACCGAAGCTCCGCCCCGATGATTCATAAAACAAAAACCGTTGAAACTTCTGGGCTGAACTCCAATAAAACCCGCCTTTATTACAAAGTTACAATATCTGGAATTGTGATTGGGTGACGCGGAGCACGTGACCCGTTCCCATGGAAACAATAAATGATACATATGTACATAAAACTAGACTTGCTCCAGCAGCGGAAACCCGTCCTCGCCTTGTGCGATGACGGCGTCAATATTATAAAACGACGCATGTAGAGTGATTAGGAAAAACGAGGCCCCCAGGACCCAGAACATGGCGCCGTGGGCCCCCACTAGATAGTAAACCGGCATGGAGCACACCACTACCAACCCGTACACTTGCGCCAGCGTCAGTTCCTTCTTAAAAAACACGATCCTCCTCTCCTGGTGTCGCTTGTTCAACTTATAGCCGGCGTAGAAGCTCCCTGCTATCGCAAACAAAATCAAAGGGGACGTGATCCTACGGACACAATTTAGCCAAAATTTAACCACTCGGGGGCGACTTACAAGCAATAGACGATCAGGCCGAGAAAAACAAACAAGTAGTTGCTTTGGAAGTACTCGATGTTCCTCATTATGCGCTTACTCAGTCGGGGGACCGACGGGGGCGCCTTGAAGTTGGAAGTCTGCAAAAAAAGCAGCCACGGCCTCACGTTCTGTCTCTGTTTGTGGAACCACTCCTTGGGGTCGGGGATCTGCGTCGGCACTTGTAAAAAACTACAAAATTAGTCAAGTGTGAGGTTATGTCGGTCGTTGTGTCACTCGTGGGGGTACCTCGGAAATGCGTTTTTCGGAAGGGGGGCTGGGGGCGCCATCTCCCCCGACACGTCGACGGAAACATCGGCCATAATTCACCCCCGATTCATGGATTTTTGCGTCTTGTAACAATTTTTAATTTTTGACAGGTGACGTTGACACTTCTACGTAAACCACTAAAGTGGGGCACGGGAAAGTGAAAATCCGGTCTTGAGGGGCCACCAGCTGCTCTAAACGACTCTAACTGTAGTCTGTCGTGTAATTAAATCAGTTTGGGAATTTTCTGCGCCACCCACTCGAGTCCTCGATCTTCGCGATGATTCACCCCGTGGGAGCTCCAACGACAACAACGCGACTATAACCTCCCGCTGACGACTTTTCGCCACTTTTCGCTGTTTTCGCCATCAACAACCCGTCCCAACGTGTCTCAATCCACGGATTTTGATTTTGGCGCCGCGCGGTTCGCGGCGCGCCCGCTCGCGGCGCCACCGCTCCGCCAATCAGCGCCTGGCGGCGCCGCGATTGGCCGACTTGAAATCCAGATGCGTCGATTTTCGTAACCGTTAGCGTTAGTGAGCAGAATAACACTTGTGTTTGTTTTGTTGCGCGATTTAGCGTTTTTCGGGCGATTTTGAGCGGAATCGTGTGCTGGGAGGATGTCTTCGAAGCTGCGGATGGCCCCCGAGGTCTGCGTGCATGTGGAGCCCCCCAACGACCTGGATTCGTCGTCGGGCTGCGAGCTGTCTTTCGAGTTGTCGAGCGACAATCTGCGGAGCCCCTCGCCCACGCCGAGGCTGAGGTACACGCTGAACACGCCGGGGCCCAACCCGTCGTACAGCCCCCCGTACAAGAAGGTGCGGGCGTTGAGGTTGTTCGACAGCCCCCTGACCCCGAAGACTATAATAGAGAAGTCGGCGGCCACGCCGGCGCTGAGGAGCAGGCTGTTCACGGACAAGCCGAGGACGGCGGGGACGAGTCAGAGGAGCGAGAAGCCCACGGCGAATGTTAACCCGTTTACGCCGAATGGTGAGTTGAAGGGGTTAATGAAGGGGCTTTGGGGCTGTTTTAGTGGGGCGAGGGACTGTGTGAAGTGGTCAAGTGGTTGAGGAGGTTCAGCTGGTTTATATCCTTTGTTCGAGAAAGCAGTGGCTGAAGTCTGGTGGTCTGTGGACAGGGTTGCAAAAACGTTGAGGCGGCGTGGGGGCCTCTGATAACGTTAAATAACAAATTTGTGGCGTTATCAGGGAAAAAATCGTCTAGTAGGCTTTGAAATTTAGTGTCGAAAAAATTATGTTGGCACCACCAACGCCTTTGTTGTTCAGTTTGAAATAGCTGTTAAACAAAGTGTCATGGCCTGCTAGACCACTTTGCGGTCATTAGTGTCAATAAAATAGCAATTAATAGGTGAATAATTAGACCAGTGTTTTTGGTTCCATTGTGAGGTCAAATTAATTTTACTCTCAATTTTAGTTTGGTTTCAGCAATAATGCGCTCACAGTATGTTTTGGTCTCTCCAAGGTGGTACACTGATGATCGAAAAAGACGTCGTCTAGTCAGCCATGAAATAAAAAAATTAAAAATTGTGAGGTTATGAGAATTTGTCAAATACGTAACTACTACGTTTTAGTTAAAAAGTATATATTTTGATACGCCAAATATTTGTATTTAAAATATGAGGGTTTCAGTGAACAGGTTATCATTGCATTTATTTCTTTTCATTTCTTTTTTTTTAGGTTAAAATTAAAGTCTCACTATTGATCAACTTGAACTATAGAAAATACTTATATACAGGTGTTCCAAAAACGACGCATAAGTTCAATGGTACGTTGTTAAGAAGGCTCTGAATAATTCGAAAAAGTGGTTAAAAAGATCTCTGAACCAAATTTTTCAAAATATTAAAACTTCAGAATTGAAGAATTGACTTCATAATTCTGATTTGTTGTAATGAACTCATATCTAATAGAGAGTTAAATAATTAGTTATTAATAATTTAATAATAATTTGCTTGAATACGTCATTTTTTACTGTTGACCAGTGTCATTTTTGACAATTTTTATGGAAGTCTAGACTGTCAATTGAATTCATCATAAAACATCATAATTACGAAGTTAATTCTTCAAATACTAACCAAAATTTGGCCAATTATCCCCACCAACAATTTGATGACGTCATTTCCAAAATTACTTTATAACTTTCTTTGCTCCCTCTCTATTTTCTCAGAGGGCATGGCATTTGCCAAAATCAGTCTTATCTTAGCAAGTACTAGTCCCGCCCACCCGCCCTCTATTTCGTCAGAGGATATGGCATCTGCCAAAATTAGTCTTATCTTATCAAATACTAGCCCCGCCCACCCGCCCCTGTTTTCTCAGAGGATATGTCATTTGCCAAAATCAGTATTATCTTAGCAAGTACTAGTCCCGCCCACCCGCCCTCTACTTTGTCAGAGGATATGGCATCTGCCAAAATTAGTCTTATCTTATCAAATACTAGCCCCGCCCACCCGCCCCTGTTTTCTTAGAGGATATGTCATTTGCCAAAATAAGACTTATCTTAGCAAGTACTACCCTCTGAGGAAATAAAGGACGGGTGGGCGGGGTTAGTACTTGGTAAGATAATACTGATTTTGGCAAATCACATATTTTCTAAGAAAAGAGAGGGTGGGTGGGTGGGGCTACTACTTGCTAAGATAAGACTTGGTTCGGCAAATGACATCCTCTTAGAAAATAGGGGGCGGGTCTAAAGTAAAAACTCAACTCAAAAATACTGGATGTTTCACTGTACTTTAGGTACGAGGGAAGTTCTACCGAAGCAGCTTTCAACCAATTTTTTAACAATTTATTTCGAGTTCTTCAGAGCCCTCTTAACAACGTACCATCGAGCTTAAGTGTCATTTTTGGAACAGCAATAAAGTACAAGATATTCTGTTTGAAAAACTGAAATATCGATATTCGAAAATCGTTCTAATCACAACTTTTTATAAACACCCTGTATATTAAAACCCAATTTTATTTTTATCACAATAAAGTGCACATTTTTATTAATCTCCTCACAAAGTATTGTTACCCAAATTTTTAATTTTTTTTTTTTTAATGAAATCCGTTGCTAAAAAAAAATCAGGAAAATTGGAAAAATTTGGCAACATCGGGCATCAGAATTTCGAAATTAAACTATGATTATAAAGCCTAAGAAAAGATCGATCGGAATATATAAGAATGAATAGGGTATTTCATTTAAAAGAACTAAGTTATGGTACGCTTTAAAAACAAAACACTCTGTATAGTTGAAAATAATTATTGTGGTATATGGGCCTCAAAGAACTGTGCAACTTTGGTTTTGGAGTGTTTTCCCTATTTCTAATAATGAGATATTGAGGAACACGCGCTTAGTGATTTTTTTGGTGACCCACCCTGTATATTGTGAAATTATCACTCAACCATTGTTAGATACCTATTTTGGTTTAATTCTGAGTCGCACTTTATATCCTTAATACCTAGATAATTGGTATCGCCTACAAAAAAAAAATTAAACAATAGAGAAAATATACAGGGTGAATCACTAAGAGTGTTGTCCTCCATATCTTATTAATTATTAGAAATAGAAAAAAAGTGAAAGACCAAAGTCGAACGCCTCTTCGACGAATATATGCTTTACAATGATTTTTAACTATACAGAGTGTTCAGTTTTTAAGGCGTGACACAACGTATTTTTTTATGAAACACCCTATAATTTTTACATATTTTGTTGGACCTCTTACAACCACACTTTATTTTTTAAATTCCGATGCGATGTTGCCACGTTATTCTAATTTTCTTGTAAAGTAAAAAATTGGTCGAAAGTTGTTTCAACAGAACTTCCCTCGCTCCTGAACTAGAATGAAACATAAAAAATAAACATCCAATCAGATCTGGGAATTTAACTCATTACTATGAAAATTTGCAATTTAACACCTTTTAAATTTAACCCGTTTTTACAAGATTAATAGAACCAAAAATAGTCTTATCTTAGCAAGTACTAGCCCCGCCCACCCGCCCCCTATTTTTTCAGAGAATATGTCGTCTGCCAAATCAGTCTTATCTTAGCAAGTACTAGCCCCGCCCACCCGTTCTCCATTTTCTTAAAAGGTATCACAAAATATTGGGAAATCGAAAAATCGAAACATCAACAAATTGGAAAATCGAAAACCAGAAAAGTCAAAAAACCGAAAAATGCAAACAGTGGAAAAATCGAAAAATTGAGAAATCAAAATGGGCCAATAAAATCGAAAAATCGAAGAATTAAAAACTGAAAAATTTAAAATTGAAAAAAAAATCTATAAATCGAAAAGTCAATAAATCGAAATCTCGATGAGGTGAGAAACATAAAAATTTAAAAAGTCAAAAGTCTGAAACCGCGAATTCGAAAAATAAGTTTTCCCAAAATTGCAAATTTGAAAAATCGAGAAATCTAAAAATTGAAGAGTCAAAACAATTTTAAAATCGAATAACCACGCTATCAAGAAATCCGAGAAAATTTGGATATTTTCCCAAAATTTTCCAAAAAAACAATTTTAAAAAGGCTTTAAGTCGATTTGAAGGTTACCAAAAATACAAGAATTAAAAAAATTGAAAAATTAAAATATCGAAAAATTAAAGAATCGAAAAATTCAAAAATCTAGAGATTGAAACTTAATAAAAAAATCAATTAAATTGAAAAAATCGTAAAAAGGAAACATTGAAAAATCGAAAAATGGTTAAATTTCAAAAATCTAAAAATTGAAATGGCAAAAATTCGAAAAATTGGAAAAAATTATCAAAGCAAAAATCGAAAAATCGAAAGTTTAAAAAAACTGAAAAATCGAGAAATCGAAAAAAATTCAAAAATTTGAAACTTAAAAATCGAAAAATTGAAGTGGAGAAAACGAAAAGCCGAGAAATCGGAAAAACGAAAATCCAAAATTAAAAAATTCGGAATATTGAACAATCAAAAAATTTATAAATCGAGAAATTGAAAATTTTACAAAAATGAAATCACGAAACATTGGGAAATCGAAAAATCGATTTCATAATGTCGAATCATTGACAAATTGGAAAATCGAAAAGCAGAAAAGTCAAAAAACCGAAAAACCGAGAAATCGAAATAACAAAAGATCGAGAAATCGGGAAATGGAAAAGCAGAGGAGTAGAAAAATCGAACAGTTAATAATTGAAAAATTTTAAATTGAAAAATCTAGAGATTAAAACTTAATAAAAGTGAATAATTCTAAATCAATTGGAAAATCGATCAGTCGAAATATCAAATAATCCAAAAATTAAAATATGCAAAGATTGAAAAATTCCGAGATCGAAAATTTCTCAAAAACGAAATTTTGAAAAATCGGAAAATCTAGAAATTGAAAAGTCAAAAGATAAAAGATATCAAAACATTAAAAATATCGTAAGAACGAAAAACTGAAAAATCGAAAAATGGCTACATTTCAAAAATCTAAAAATTGAAATTGGAAAAATTTAAACATTCGAAAAATTGAAAAAAGTTAGCAAAGAAAAAATCGAAAAAAATTCAAAATTCAAAAATTTGAAACTTAAATATCGAAAAATTGAAACGGAGAAAACGAAAAGACGAGAAATCGGAAAAACGAAAATCCAAAATTAAAAATTCCGAATTTTGAACAATCAAAAAACTTATAAACCGAGAAATTGAAAATTTTCAAAAATGAAATCACGAAACATTGGGAAATAGAAAAATCGAAACATCGACAAATTGGAACATCGAAAAGCAGAAAAGTCAAAAAACCGAAAAACCGAGAAATCGAAATAACAAAAGATCGAGAAATCGGGAAATGGAAAAATAAAAAAAATGAAATATCAAAAAGTGTGAAATTCGAAAAGCTGGAAAGTCGAAAGATCAACAAATCCAAAAATTAGGACATCGGGAAATCGAAAAACCCAGAAATTGAAAAATTGGGAAATTAAAAAATTGTAATGTCCAAAAATAAAAAACTTGAGAGTATCTACAAACTGAAAAATCGAGAAATCTAGAAATCGAAAAACCAAAAAAAATTCAAATATCGAAAAATTGAAAAATCGGAAAATAAAAAAAATTAAAATTCGAAAAATAGAGAAATCGGTAGAAAATCGAGAAATCAGAAAATCTAAACCAAGAGACCGAAAAGTCGAAAAATCTAGAAACTGGAAAATCGAGAGATCGAAAAACTGAGAAATCGGGGAACCTGAAAGTCGAAAAATTGAAAAATCGGGAAACTGAAATATCGAAAAATTGAAAACCCGGAAAATTAAGAATTCGACAGACCGAAAAACCGAGAAGTAGAGGAGTATCAAAACAGTTAAAAATTGAAAAATTCTAAATCAATTGAAAAATTCCAAGATCGAAACTTTCTCAAAAACCAAATTTTGAAATATCGAGAAATCTAAAAATTAAAAAGTCAAAAAATTTAAAAAGGTGCCAAGAAATCAGAGCTTCAAAAAAGTGGTAAAAACGAAAAACTGAAAAATTGAAAAATGGTTAAATTTAAAAATTCGAAAAATCGAAAAAAACGAATAAAAGAAGAAATGGAAAAATTTAATTTTTCATTTGCCAAAATGCCAGTATTTGCTAAGACTAATTTTGGCAAATGACGATCGCCTGAAAAATAGGAGGTGGGTGGGTGGGGCTAGTACTTGCCAAGATAAAACTGGGTTTGGCAGATGTCATACCCTCTAAGAAAATAGAGGGTGGGTGGGCGGGGCTAATCCTTTCTAAGATAAGACTAATTTTGGCAAATGACAATTCTCTGAGAAACAGGGGGTGGGTGGGCGGGGCTAGTACTTGCTAAGATAAAACTGATTCTGGCAGATGTCACCCTATACGAAAATAGAGGGTGGGTGGGCGGGCGGGGCTAATCCTTGCTAAGATAAAACTAATTTTGGCAAATGACAATTCTCTGAAAAATAGGGGGTGGGTGGGCGGGGCTAGTATTTGCTAAGATAAAACTGATTCTGGCAGATGTCACCCTCTAAGAAACTAGAGGGTGGGTGGGTGGGGCTAATCCTTACTAAGATAAGGCTAATTTTGGCAAATGACATTCTCTGAGAAAATCTAAAAAATATGAATGCAATCAAAAATCACAAGTAAAAACTCATAATATTTTGCACATTTTGGGTAGAATTTATTCGGCAAAATTTTGAGATGACGTCATCAATTTCTTGGGGGGATAGATAGATATATTTGGTTACATGCTTACAACAACTTTAAAACATGTGTAAGATTTCAAAATATTCATTTTTGCAATTCTTGATTTCTTCACTAAAATAAATTGATTGATTTATTATTTTTTATAAGTCACCCTGTATAATCAAATCTAAAAAATAAGTGCATTGATAAATTACAAGTATAAACTGGTCAAATTTTGCACACTTTTGACGGGATTTTTTCGGCAAATTTTTTTAGGGGGGGGGGGGGTGAGCAAATACGTTTATCATAACTTTAAAATATTTGCAAGATTTCAAAACATTCGGTTTTGCAGATTCAAAATTAAATTGCAAAATGTTGTTTTATATTTTTGATTTTTTTCTAAAAATCTGGACGTTTTGGATAAAAACTCAAGACGGAGTGATAAACTACATATATATGACTATGTTATTTTATACAATTACCATGTACGATTTTGAAGTGACGTCATCATACTATCAACTGTCAACATAGAAAATCCTCAAAAAAAAAGAGTACAAAAAATAGAATAAGATGCAATAATAAAATATGGGGTGTTTTTTTCAAAAAATTGAAGTAACGATGTTCGAAAATTTTAATAATTAAAACATTTTTATAAACACTCTGTATACGAAAACTTAATTTCATATAATCCCCGTGTGATGTTTTTTGCGAACCCTTCCATTGCCAAAAATTTCAAGAAAATTAGAATGACGTGGCAACGTCGCACCATAATTTCAAAAGTAAACTATGAGGTCAGTCAAAATATGTAAAGATATACAGGTGTTTCATAAAAAAATGTTTTTACTCCTTAAAACAGGACACTCTGTATAGATATGTATGGTATCACCTACAAAAAAAATATTTTTACATATCGAGTTACCATTAATGTTTGTGATTTTTTTCTTTTGTCAGGTTGAAGCCATACCGGATGTCAGATTCGTATTTTGGGCACCAATTGAGTAGTTGCCACATTGTTATTAGTTTTTAGACGCCCTCATGTCAAAATTGACAATTGTCAACTGTCATGCTAACATTGTTGCCAATAATTCAGGATTGCCAACCCTCTTTCGGAATTTGTAACTATAATGGCCATCTCCATGGCAACGAAAGTTCAAATGTCACAATTACTGACAGATGACATATACTATTTTAATTAAAAATTTGAAAAGTACACAATTAATGAGAAGCGGCAAATCTGCAACTTTTTTAAATTTCATAGGCCACTGGATGGAAGAAATAAATGAGTCTCTCAAGGCGCCACTCTCACACCCTCCGTATTCTTATTTTACTCAAACGATTAACGATCTCTTTTTGCTCCAGGTATGTACCAAACCAAGAAGCGACTGCGGTCCACCAGCTCCCTCCAGGTGCCCCACTTCGACCTGAACGAGTCCGACGCGTCCGACGTGGAGAACGAGCCCCCCGCCAAGCGCGTGCCCCTCCACGAGAACAACATCCCCCGCTACCACCAGGAGTTCCTCGAGCTCGAGCTCATCGGCTCCGGCCAGTTCGGCTCCGTCTACAAGTGCATAAACCGGCTCGACGGCTGCATCTACGCCATAAAGAAGTCCACCAAGCCGGTGGCAGGGAGCGTGTTCGAGAAGACCGCCCTCAACGAGGTGTACGCGCACGCCGTCCTCGGCAAGCACCAGCACGTGGTGCGCTACTACTCCGCCTGGGCCGAAGACAACCACATGATCATCCAGAACGAGTACTGCAACGGCGGGTCTTTAGCCGACCGCCTCCAGGAGGGCCCGCTCTCGTCGGTGGAGCTGCGCCAGATGCTCATGCACGTCGCCGAGGGGCTGCGCTACATCCACTCCGAGGCGCTCGTGCACCTGGACATCAAGCCAGGGAACATCTTCATCTCCAAGGAGAAGAAGATGCAGTTCACGAACTACGACTCAGCGGACGACGGGTTCGAGGACTTGGACGAGAGCCACTACGAGGAGGAGTTGACGTATAAGATCGGGGATTTGGGGCACGTGACGAGCTTGAACAACCCCCAAGTGGAGGAGGGGGACTGCCGGTACCTCCCGAACGAGATCCTCCACGAGGACTACAGCCACTTGACCAAAGCCGATGTTTTCGCGTTAGGGTTGACGGTTATAGAGTGCGCAGGGGCGGGGCCACTGCCCAAGAACGGCGACGATTGGCACAAGTTGAGGAGGGGCGAGTTACCAGAAATGCCCACGGCCTTGAGTAGGGACATGGTTAATTTGATAGCGTCGATGATCCACCCGAACCCGGCGATGAGGCCGGCGGCTTTGCAAATCCTGCACCATCCGGCCCTGTGTCCGGTGGGGAAGAAGACGAGGGCGCAGCTCCACCGGGAGCTGAACGCCGAGAAACTCAAGAACGAGATTCTGTCGAAGCAGCTGAAGGAGGCGGCGATCTGCATCAAGACCATAGCGCCGGAGAGCAAGCAGATGAAGGGGGTATCACGGATTAGTAATAGGTTGATCGGGAAGAATTTTAATCGGAGCGTCAGCGCCACCACGTTTTAATGCGACGGAAATTGCTTACTGGAAGGTCTGTTTATTTATTGTAATAGGGTGCCCCTCGGGGCGGTTTTATTGATTTATGAACTCTCCTAGTAATTGTATGTGATGAGATCTATTTTCGTTTCGTTGGAAATGGAATTTAGGCTGCTGAGGACGTGTAGACTGATATTGTTTGAAGCTGTGGTTCTTCAATTGCAAGGCTGTCTTTAAATTGTTAGAAGTTTTGAGCTTGTTTCTCGTTTTTTCGTAAATTAATCAAGCCGGTTTTTCTCTTAGGTTAAAACTTTCCTTTTAATTTTTTTTTTATTTTACATATTTTATAATTATAGCTTAGATTTATTTAAAAGTACTTGTTATAATATGTGATAATTATTTTTTAAAAAGTTAGTATAGTTATATGAAGACATATTGTAACTTTACATTCCCTATAACTTGTGCCTTTGTCGCATCAATTTATTGTAGCGAATTTGTTAGTGCATTTTATTAACTCGAATTTGTAATAAATTATACCAAATAAATGAATATTTGCGCTTCCAGGACGAATTTAATCGACACCCTATATATATCTTAAACTTACACCCAGTATATTACACAGCAATACAAATTTTAGTGTTCTTACGTTGGCAGCACGCATATTTTCAAAAAATTGTTAATAACCAGCCTCTGACATTTTTCAACCATCCATCTACTAAGAACACAACACTTAATAGTCAAGTTTTTGTTTAAACAATCAAAACAAATTTTTATTCCACAAAACAACTAAATAACGTCAAACCGCTACCAACCCAGCCTCCCTAAATTCCCCAATTACCCGCAACGTCAACACAAGTAAACACTTTAAACACGTTTTAAGTCCAAATAGGCCACAATGATAAGCTTTGTAACATTTATGTAAGTAAACCGGCGTCTTTGACACACCTGCAGCCCCCCTTGAACCACTTTTAACACATAACCTCACTTTTTGTTTCAGCGCCTCTCTCCTTTATTCCACCGATTTCTTGCTGTTTCTCTCACTTAGCATAATCATCTTCATCGGTGTCGTCATTCCATCAATTTTCTTCTACTTGCGCTCGAAATACCGGCGCCGGAAAGCCAAAAACAAGTCTCCAAAGCTCCAAGTGGGGATTTTCCACCCCTATTGTAACGCTGGCGGGGGCGGCGAGAAAGTGTTGTGGGTGGGACTGCAAGCCCTTCAAGAACAGTAATTATCAACACATTGTTTATTCAAATCGTGAAATTAATTTGTAGGTATAAGGATGCTGAGTTTTATATATACACAGGGGATGTGGAGGCCACCCCAGCCGAAATTCTGGACAAAGTGCACAAAGTTTTAAACGTAAAAATCGACAAAAGCGTGAAGTTTGTGTATTTGAACAAACGAAAATGGGTTGAAGGGTCCCAATACCCCTATTTTACATTGTTGGGGCAAGCTTTGGGGTCGGTTTATCTGGCATTTGAGGCCATAAACCAACTGGTTCCAGACATTTTCATTGATACCACGGGCTTCACATTCACTTTACCCCTTTTCAAGTATCTAGGGGAGAGCAAAACTGGGTGTTACATTCATTATCCGACAATCACCCAAAAAATGATGACCAGAGTGTCTAATCGGCAAGCCACTTATAACAATAGGAGTGTAATAGCGCGCAGCCCCATTTTCACGCACGCTAAACTCCTCTACTATAGATTATTCGCTTGGGTTTGTACCTAACCTCACTAATTTTAGTGTTTAATAATTTAATTGTAGCTCTATGCTTTGGCTGGTCAATGCTCTGACACTACTTTAGTCAACTCCACGTTCACCCACGAGCACCTATCCGAGCTCTGGGGGCGCCCTCTGCACCTAGTCTACCCCCCTTGCGAAGTCGACCACTTGAAAAACATCCCCAAACCCAAACACAAACCCCCCAAAATCCGCATCCTGTCTCTAGCGCAGTTCCGCCCGGAGAAAGACCACCCTCTCCAACTCCAATCCCTCTACGAACTCCGCGAAATCCTCGGTGACGACTTCGACAACGTCACTCTCGTTCTATGTGGGAGCTGCAGAAACGCCGGTGACAGCACAAGAGTGGCGGACTTACGCGACTTAAGTAAGCACTTAAGTCTGGAGAACAACGTCGAGTTTAAGGTGAATCTGACGTACGAGGAGCTGCTGGAGGAACTAGAGGGGGCTTATCTGGGGGTTCATACCATGTTGGACGAACATTTTGGGATTAGCGTGGTGGAGCAGATGGCGGCGGGGTTGATAGTGGTGGCGCACCGGTCGGGGGGGCCGCTTTTGGACATTATTGAGACTTCAGAGGGGTCCAGGTTGGGGTTCTTGGCCACCACTCCCGAGGAGTATGCTTACGTGATTAAGTTCGTGCTTACGTGTGGGGATGAGGAGGTGAACGAGATAAGGGAGAGGGCGAGGGCGTCTGTGGATAGGTTTAGCAGTAAGAAGTTCCAGGATGAGTTCCTGAGGGCGATAGATCCGTTGTTTAAGTGATTTTTTTAATAAATGTGTAGAGGTTGGTAGTGTTTGAATTTGGCGCGCTTGCGCATGGGGTCGAGCGGGGAAAGCATGGGCGGAGAGGTGCAGGATTGGGTCGGGGGCAACTGACACTTGGATTAATCATTATAAATCGGAAAAATCAGTGGTTTCGTTGAACGGGTTTAGTATGACAAAAAAATGACAAAATTACTTGTAGTTTTGGAATTTAATTGACAAAACTAAATCATAACACTGTTCTGTGATCATAACTAGTTCATTTACAAATTTCCGGAATTTATTCGAGCAATTAGTAATATAATAAATATATACATATATAGTTTTAATGGCACTGGATGTTTTTTGAGGTTATGTTTGTCAAAACACAAGCTATAAAAGTTAGTGCTTCGATTGTCAGGTAAGCCAAATTTTCCCTTTTTTACTCGAATGGGAAATACATAATTGTTATGATTTTTTTATAGTTTTGGGGTCGTTTAAATTCTAAAATTAGATGGACTTGGACATGACATTACTCAGTTTTTCCCAAGTTACTTAAAACAAGGCAATTTAAAAACTTTTTTTACAAAATTCGAAGCATCCAGTTTTTAACATGACGTACTTAGGAAGTATTAGCCCGCCCACCCACCCTCTGTTTTCTTGGAAAGTATGTCGTCTGCCAAAATCATCTTTACAAGTGCCAGTCCCACCCACCCACCCTTTATTTTCTTAGAGGGTATGTCATTGCCAAAGTCACCCGTATCTTACTAAGTACTAGAAAATTAAATGGACTTGGACATAACATTACTCAGTTTTTCCTAAGTTACTTAAAACAAGGCAATTTAAAAATTTTTTGTTTATAAAATCAGAAACATCCATTTTTTAACATGGCGCGATGGGTACTTTTAAAAGTGTAATTATTAAGAACTGAATTGTTTGGATTATTATTTTCCTTTTTCTTACGAAAAAATTGAAATTATATAAAATTTCTTCAGAATAGCCAAGAATGAATGAATAAAAGAATTCATTAAGACGAAAATTGATTTCAATGTATGTGTCAAGGTGTATACAGGGTGAGTCATTATAACGCGCATTCTTCAGTATATATATGTATCTTCATTAGAAAAAAGTTGTACGATTTTTGTAGTGACATACAGAAAATAGGGGGCGGGTGGGCGGGGCTAGTACTTCCTAAGATATGACTGATTTTGGCAAATCACATACCTTCCAAGAGAAAACGGGCGGGTGGGTGGGGCTAGCACTTGTAAAGATAAGACTGACTTTGGCAAATGATATTGTATTTGTTAAGATAAGACTGATTAAAATGTAAATACTTTGAAATCTTGCCGACGTTTTAAAGTTATTGTAAGCCTGGTGAATTGTTAATCAAAATATATCTCTTTATTCCCCACAAAAATTGATGACGTCATCTCAAAATTTTGCTGAGTAAGTTCTATCCAAAATGTGTAAAATATGATGATTCTTTACTTGTGATTTATCACTGCATTCATATCTTTTAGTTTTGCTTATACAGGTGGCTCAAAAAAATGAATGAATACAACACTGTTATTTTTTAATTTCCTTTTTAAACTAAATAAAATAAATAAATAAATAAACTTTATTACGGGAACCCCATTATATCTAAATTACAAATTATAATTAAATACACTAAAAATTAAATTAAATTAAACATCAAAAATAAGTCAGTGAAATGGGGAAAGGAGGTGGGCGGGGCTAAATTTAGCTTTTTACTAGTTTTATGAGCAAACAGTAGCCACGCCTACCCACCCCTTTTTTGTTCCAGTGACCATTCTTAACATTGTTCAGTCCTATCTTAGCAAGTTTTAACCCCGCCCACCCACCCTTGTATTTCTTAGAGGATATGTCATCTGCCAAAATCAGTCTTATCTTCACACGTTCTAGCCCGCCCACCCGCCCTCCATTTTCTTAAAAGTCAGTCTTATTTTTGATTTTGGTACATTATATATCCTTAAGAAAATATAGGGCGGGTGGGCGGGGCTTGTGTTTGTTAAGATACGATTAGTTTCAACTATTTAACTTTTTATTTTTGAAATAACGATGCGACGTTGCCACGCTATGTAAATTTTCTTGAAATTTTTAGCATTCCAGGGGTTAAAGTAAGATATTATAATAAAATTTCAACATCTATTTTATAATATCTTATATACCGAGTGCTATGTTATATTTTTTAAATAACAGACCTGTGTTTGATTTTTTTCAAAAAAATATGTCTTGCTGAGTTTTTTACTCTCATATACACTTAAAAAAATTAAAATGAAACACTCTGTACAATAGAATTTCATTTAATTGATACCATAAAATATTCAATGAATACAATTTTTGAACCGACAAGTCAAAATTTTGAGATAAGTGATTCTTCTATATATATATGTATCTTCATTAAAAAGTCTTACGATTTTTGTAGTGACATACAGAAAATAGGGGGCGGGTGGGCGGGGCTAGTACTTCCTAAGATATGACTGATTTTGGCAAATCACATACCTTCCAAGAAAATAGAGGGTGGGTGGGCGGGGCTAGTACTTGATAAGATAAGACTGATTTTGGCAAATGACATAACTTCTAAGAGAAAAAGGGCGGGTGGGTGGGGCTACCACTTGTAAAGATAAAACTGACTTTGGCAAATGATATATCCTTAAAGAAAGTAGAGGGCGGGTGGGCGGGGCTTATATTTGGTAAGATAAGATTGATTAAAATATACACTAAAACTAGTTTCAACTATTTAGCTTTCTACTTATTTTTGGAATAACGATGCGACGTTGCCACGTGAGTAACAAAAAAAAATGAATCAGTCAATTTATTTTATCAAATAAATCAAACATTGCAAAACTGAGTACTTTGAAATCCTGGAGACGTTTTAAAGTTATTGTAAGAATGGTAAATGGTTAATCAAAATATATCTGTTTATTCCCCCCAAAATGATGTTTTACTTGTGATTTATCATTGCATTCATATCTTTTAGATTTGCTTATACAGGTGGCTTAAAAAAATTAATCTAATAATCTTAGCAAATTTTAGCCCCGCCCACCCACCCGTTTTTTTCTTAGAGATATGTCATCTGCCAAAATCAATCTTAACTTAACAAGTACTAGCCCGCCCACCCGCCCTCTATTTTCTTAAAGGGTATATGATTTGCCAAAGTTAGTCTTATTTTTGATTTTGGCAAATTATATATCCTTTAAGAAAATAGAAGGCGGGTGGGCGGGAATTGTGTTTGTTAAGATACGATTAGTTTCAAGTATTTAACTTTTATTTTTGAAATAACAATGCGACGTTGCCACGTTATGTAAATTTTCTTGAAATTTTTAGCATTCAAGGGGCTAAAGTACGATATAATAAAATGTCAACATCTATTTTATAATATCTTATTTACCGAGTGCTATGTTATATTTTTCAAATACAGGCCTGCGTTTGAGTTTTTTCTCTTGTACACTTATAAAAATGAAAATGAGACACTCTGTATATTAGCATTTCATTCAATTGATACCAAAAAATATTCAATGAATATAATTTTTGAACCGTCAAGTCAAAATTTTGAGATAAGTGATTTTCAAAATATATGTGTATCTTCATTAGAAAAAAGTACGATTTTTGTAGTGACATACAGAAAATAGGAGGCGGGTGGGCGGGGCTAGTACTTTCTAAGATATGACTGATTTTGGCAAATCACTTACCTTCCAAGAAAATAGAGGGTGGGTGGGTGGGCCTGGTATTTGATAAGATAAGACTGATTTTGGCAAATGACATACCTTCTAAGAGACAAAGGGCGGGTGGGTGGGGTTAAAAAATGGATGCAAGTTTCGAATTATTAGAAACAAACTTTGAAATCATTGAGAAAATTTTCGAATCAGTTAAGTCAAAAATTATGTCAACTTTTGAAATAATAGGATTTTGACTTAAACTATGACTAAATTTTGAATTAATTAACCAACATAATTTTTGAAAAGTTTAACAATTAATTAAAACCAAAGTTTTGCCGTTTACAGAATAGAACTCCACAATTTATTTAATGAAATACTTAACCAACACTTTGAAACTTGAATGGGTCATTGGGTCAAAGAACAAGCTGGAGGAAAAGCCTTGGTTTTAATTAGAAAAGGAGAGAACTATGCAAGGACAGCGGAAAACTAGCGGAAAACTATGAAAAGGAAAATTTTCCATGGATGCTGTATAATTTAAGTTGTTAACTAGTGGAAGTGGTTATTTTCCACCACTAGGTCAGTGTGACATCGTGTGTAATAATAATACAGTAAAATTTCGCATTTTCCGTTATTGACCAAAAGGGCAGTAAAAATGCGTGTGAATGAGGGCCGTTTTGGCCGCAGGCCACGTTTGCCGCCATCGTCGAGGATCGCAGACCTCCGCCCCCGCAGCCCTCGCGGCGTCGGCGCCCCTGGGCTCCCGCTCTGCGGCCACCAGATGTCGCTTTGGTTTGAAAGGTGAAAGAAAGGCATATGGCGTACGTTTCTATTTTTGCTAAACCGAGATAAAATTAAAGTAAAAAACGGTGTGTTGTGCGTAGATATCTGTAGGAAATCGAAGATCGTTTACAGTGTATCACACAAATGTCCCGCGTTGAAGTTTTCCGGTGATTTTCTGTTTGTTTACGTATGTGCGTATGTTGAGTTTTTGTTGACGAAATATAAAAAAACGGACTGTGATATTAAGCTTAGTTGTAACATAGTAAGAATCAGTTTCTCCGTTTCATATTCTCACTAGATTCCGGTTTATTTATTAATTAGTTAGGAGCGACTTAGAGCATAAGTGATATTTTTCAAAAAAACAAAGACTGAGCGATTTGGACGAATTTTTACCAAAGACAGAAAAGACAGTTGTACATAGTTTTACACGATTCGAGGATGTCGGTGACTGAGGAGGCCGCCGCCAGCACGAGCGACGCCGCCCCCGCGGACGGCCCCAGCGCCAAAGGTAAGTGCCCCCCTGCGACCCACAAACCGGTTATGTAACCCCCGAGCCGAGATCGCCCCCTTGGATACCGATTTGACGTTTCGATTGGCCATTGTCTAGCGATAGCGATAAATGCGGAAAATTTCGCCTAGCGCTGAACAACGAAGTCGCTTTGGGGCCACCCCGGATCCCCTTTCCCCACGGATTGCGAAAATCCAGAAGGCGTTAATTAATGACGTAACAGCTTCGTTTCAGCTTTATCGTTTTGTTTTCAAAATAATCCGCAGCGAGACGTGGGCTGGATAAAATTGCTTTCTTGTAACGATAAACTTTGATTTTGTTGCCGTTTGTGTACAGGGTGAACCATTTAATTCGATTTAACTTCGTTGCGTTTGTGGGCAAATTTTGGCGAGTGACGTCTATCGGGTCGCCTCGACCGGCGGTATAAAAATGGAAATGCAACCGTGATTTACATATTGTTTTAAGTACGGGGTAATGGGGTTGGTAGTGACGTACGAAATCTAAAAGGGTCGAGTTGTCGCTTTTAATCCATGTAGTTTAGTCGAGTTTGAAAGAAATTGAAAATGTGTATACCGGGTGGTCATTTAGTTGACGTTTGAGTGCCACAGAAATCGTATCATATTTCATCAACGCTTCGAGCCATATGTTTACTTTTTGCAGTAGGTGTTTACTTTTTCTAGGAAAGTTTATGATCATTTTATAGTGTTTCCTATGTACATATTGCTGCAATTAGCATACGACCTTTTCGAAGAACGAAAATTTTGCTAAATAACACAAACAAATTTCGGTTGTACTTGTGGTTTATTAGTGCGCCCTTATTTTTTACAAAAATTTTCATAATTCTCGATCACTTTATTTCATTTCACTTCAATTGGGTCAGATAAAGTCTGTTCACTTCGAAATTTGTGGTTTATCATTTTGCAGATTTGCTTATACAGGAGTGTTGAAAAATTATGATTGTGCTTCAGAGGCCAGGGAAGTTCTGTGTGAATAAGTTTAGATCAGTGTTTTTAAAGAGTGTGAAAGAATCTTCGAGATCTGGTGCATGTTGTGGAAGTATGTGAGAAAATATTGGGGACCCCTGTTTTTTGTTTTAAGAAAATGACGGAATCTGGAGTCCCAGGAGTAAGTTTGAAAGAATCTTACCTGGTGTTCCAAGTAATTTTTTTGGTCCCAAATGTCTTTTTTAAAAGCCGTGGAAGAATTGTGGAGGTTCTGGTGGTTTATTTTTGGAAGTATGTGAAGAATTTTGAGTCCCATATCGTGGGTTAAAAGAAAATGAAAGAATCTTGGGTTCCAGGTGCTTTTTTTTGAATATGATTGAATTTTGGGTCCCCCCAATTTTTGAGAAAGTTTAGAAAAATCTCTAATCTCTTGGTGTTTTTTTTTTTAATATTAAGAAAAACATTTCTTTTTGGCAAATAAACTATTTATTTATTTATTTAATTAAAGAAAATGAGCGAATTTTGGTTCCTTTATGTTTTATGTTTGAAAGAATTTAAAAAAATCTTGGGGGCCCTTGGTATTCCAAGTGATTTTTTTGGTCCCAAATGTTTTTTTTTTAAACTGGAAAAATCTTGGCCTTGAAATATGTGAAGAATTTTGGGTCCCATGTGTTTTATTTTTTTTTAGTTGAAAGAAAATGAAATAATCTTGGGTTCCTGGTGCTTTATTTTTGAAAGTGATTGAATTTTTTGGGTCTCTTGTGCATTTTTTAAAAACTGGAAGAATCTTGGGTCCCCCCAATGTTTGACAAAGTTTAGAAAAATCTCTGAATCTCTTGGTGTTTTTTTTTTTTTAAATAATAAGAAAAACATTTCTTTTTGGCAAATAAACTATTTATTTATTTATTTAATTAAAGAAAATGAGCGAATTTTGGTTCCTTTATGTTTTATGTTTGAAAGAATTTAAAAAAATCTTGGGGGCCCTTGGTATTCCAAGTGAATTTTTTTTGGTCCCAAATGTTTTTTTTTAAACTGCGGAAAAATCTTGGACTTGAAAGTATGTGAAGAATTTTGGGTCCCATGTGTTTTATTTTTTTGTTAATTGAAAGAAAATGAAATAATCTTGGGTTCCTGGTGCTTTATTTTTGAAAGTGATTGAATTTTTTGGGTCTCTTGTGCATTTTTTAAAAAATGGAAGAGTCTTGGGTCCCCCAATTTTTGAGAAAGTTTAGAAAAATCTCAGAATCTCTTGGTGGTTTTTTTTTTTTAAATAATAAGAAAAACATTTCTTTTTGGCAAATAAACTATGTATTTATTTATTTAATTAAAGAAAATGAGCGAATTTTGGGTCCTTTATGTTTAATGTTAGAAATAATTTAAAACAATCTTGGAGGCCCTTGGTATTCCAAGTGATTTTTTTAGTCCCAAATGTTTTTTTTAACTGTGGAAAAATCTTGGACTTGAAAGTATGTGAAGAATTTTGGGTCCCATGTGTTATATATTTTTTTAATTGAAAGAAAATGAAATAATCTTGGTTTCCTGGTGCTTTATTTTTGAAAGTGATTGATTTTTTTGGGTCTCTTGTGCATTTTTTAAAAACTGGAAGAATCTGGGGTCCCCCCAATTTTTCAGAAAGTTTAGAAAAATCTCTGAATCTCTTGGTGTTTTTTTTTTTAATAATAAGAAAAACATTTCTTTTTGGCAAATAAACTATTTATTTATTTATTTAATTAAAGAAAATGGGCGAATTTTGGTTCCTTTATGTTTTATGTTTGAAAGAATTAAAAAAAATCTTGGGGGCCCTTGGTATTCCAAGTGAATTTTTTTGGTCCCAAATGTTTTTTTTTAAACTGCGGAAAAATCTTGGACTTGAAATATGTGAAGAATTTTGGGTCCCATGTGTTTTATTTTTTTTTTTAGTTGAAAGAAAATGAAATAATCTTGGGTTCCTGGTGCTTTATGTTTGAAAGTGATTGAATTTTTTGGGTCTCTTGTGCATTTTTTTAAAACTGGAAGAATCTTGGGTCCCCCCAATTTTTGAGAAAGTTTAGAAAAATCTCTGAATCCCTTTGTGTTTTTTTATAATAATAAGAAAAACAAATACTTCTTTTTGGCAAATAAACTATTTATTTATTTATTTATTTAATTAAACAAAATGATCGAATTTTGGGTCCTTTATGTTTTATGTTTCAAAGAATTTAAAAAAATCTTGGAGGCCCTTGGTATTCCAAGTGATTTTTTTAGTCCCAAATGTTTTTTTTTAAACTGTGGAAAAATCTTGGACTTGAAAGTATGTGAAGAATTTTGGGTCCCATGTGTTATATATTTTTTTAATTGAAAGAAAATGAAATAATCTTGGTTTCCTGGTGCTTTATTTTTGAAAGTGATTGAATTTTTTGGGTCTCTTGTGCATTTTTTTAAAACTGGAAGAATCTTGGGTCCCCCCAATTTTTGAGAAAGTTTAGAAAAATCTCTGAATCTGTTGGTGTTTTTTTTTTTTAAATAATAGGAAAAACATTTCTTTTTGGCGAATAAACTATTTATTTATTTATTTAATTAAAGAAAATGAGCGAATTTTGGGTCCTTTATGTTTTACGTTTGGAAGAATTTAAAAAAATCTTGGAGGCCCTTGGTATTCCAAGTGATTTTTTTGGTCCCAAATATTTTTTTTTTAAACTGTGGAAAAATCTTGGACTTGAAAGTATGTGAAGAATTTTGGGTCCCATGTGTTTTATTTATTTTTTAATTGAAAGAAAATGAAATAATCTTGGGTTCCTGGTGCTTTATGTTTGAAAGTGATTGAATTTTTTGGGTCTCTTGTGCATTTTTTAAAAACTGGAAGAATCTTGGGTCCCCCCAATTTTGAGAAAGTTTAGAAAAATCCCTGAATCTCTTGGTGTTTTTTTTAAATAATAAGAAAAACATTTCTTTTTGGCAAATAAACTATTTATTTACTTATTTAATTAAAGAAAATGAGCGAATTTTGGGTCCTTTATGTTTTATGTTTGAAAGAATTAAAAAAAAACCTTGGGACCTCTAGTATTCTAAGTGATTTTTTTTGTTCCCAAATGTTTTTTTAAAAACTGGAAAAATTTTGGTGGTTTATTTTTGAAAGTACGTATCTGAAGAATCTTGGGTCTCTGGTGTTTTATTTTTGAAAAAATTTGAACAAATTTCGAAGACTCCTGGTGTTTGATTTTGGAAAAATTTAAAAGGAGTTTTTGGGCCTCCTGGTGTTTTTTTTTATTTAAAGAAAATTGAAAATTCTTGGGTTCCTGGTGCTTTATTTTTGGAAGTTGATTAATTTTTTTTTGGCCTCTAGTGATTTTTTTAAACACTGGAAGAAAATTGGGTCCCACCAATTTTTGAAAAAGTTTAGGAAAATTTCTGGATCTGGTGGTGTTTTTTTTTCTTTTTTCAATTAAAAAACATTTCTTTCGGCAAATAAACTATATTTATATATTGATTTATTTATTAATTAAATTATTTATTTATTCATTTATTTATTTGTGCAAAAGAAAATAGAAAATTGTAAAACTGAAAAATCGAACACTTAAAAATTAAAAATCGAAATTATCTAAAATCAAGAAAATCGAATAATTGAAAAATCGTTGAAAAAAAATCGAAAAACTGTAAAATCGGAAAATTGCAAAAGTGTAAAATTAAAAATTCGAAAGTTTGAAAAATTAAAATCGAAAAATTGGAAAAATATAACTGAGAAATAGAAAAATTCGAAAATTACAGGTCAGAAAAATTCTAAAATCATTAAATCAAAAAAAAAAAATAAATGAAAATCGACAAATCAATAGAGAAAACGAAAAATTGAAAATTAGAAAATATAATACTTGAAAAAAATCGGTAAATTGTAAAATTAAAAAAGCAAAAAAAATTCATTTTGCAATTTTTAGATTTTTCATTTTTCGATTTTTTTCAAGGAAATTGAAAACGCGAAAATTTGACAAATACAAGAAAAAAAATAAAAATAATATGTATTGTATAAATGAAGAATTACAAAATTATGAAATAGAAAAGTTGAGAAGCGACAAAATCGAGAAA